CAAGTGCTCCAACACATTGTACGTGATAGGCTAAGGAGCGGGACATCTCTTAAACGGTCGACCAATCACAACAGTGCTGGCCAGCTTACCAATGAGAACAGGAAGTATGAGAATAAATAAAGCACTTTTTAATCATTAAAGCATGTAAACATGTCACAGTAGAAGCACAAAATACAAACATGACCTTCAAGATAAGTATCACATCCTCTTCTGGTAGGTCACATGCAAAGCTATGTTTGTCTATGGATGACACGTCTTTAGGGTTAACATGTATGCAACTGATAAAAAGACTGTATTCAGAGTTCATGTCTCAACATTTGTCAGGGTCACGGCCAGCAACAAAGCAACAAAGTTTGTGTTCTCAGCCAGACTCAAAGAGATCAAATGTTGTTTGTTTTCAGTTATAGCAATGGATCATTTCATTAAGCTTTCAGAGCGTGTCCAATGTCTGCATCTGTCCTGTAACTCAACACCAGTGTCTCCATCAGATCAGCCAACACTTGCACTGCATGTGTGGAAGCAGAAGAGTTATTTTTTGATCTGTTGTAAAAGCACAGATTGGCGTTTCATTACTGACACTAACGGGCCGTCTCCACGGCAGCGTTAAAAAAATCTTGAAACGCTTCTGCCCATTCACTTTGAATGGGGTGACGTCACTTTTTTTCGCTTTCGCCGAAATGCATTGTGGGCAGGCGAGCGGAAATTCTCAGGATTTTCAAGATCCAAAGTTGAACAATGTTCAACTTTTGAAGCTGAGGAGGAAGCGTCAGCCAATCAAATCCCGTGTACGCAAATCTGACAGTTCAAGCTCTAGCCAATCAAACGGCGTGTATGCTGGGAGAGACAGACCGCAGGTCATTTCCTCATATTCCAAAACATGGAGGAGAAATTAGCGGTAGCGAATCAATCACCCGGTGCTTTATGACCAGACCTACCGGGATATAAACCGGAGGAGCCAGGCATGGAGGGAGGTGGCAGAGACAGTGGTATGTTTTCGCCTGTTTTGGGGAGTTTATATCCAGTTTACTTCGGGCTTTTTGGCTTCATATGTCGCGGGCGGGAGATTCATGTGATTGGTTGATCGCAAAAAAATCCCCAAGCCTCAGATACGCCCACCTCCAAGATTTTTTTAACACTGCCGTGGAGACGGCCCGTAATTGATGGGAAGTTGGCGTCATAAAGTAATTACTACAATCAGCTGTTTTAGATACAATAGCAGTTTTACAAAACTTCTCAACACATTTAAAGCAAGTTCCAATCAACAAGTCAGACTGAGATCATCTATGACTTACTTTTTGTACTTTGCCTTTCATTTCCTTACACAGATGAAGTATGTCATGCTCTGTGGTAACTCCCTCTCTCTCTAACAGTCGGATGTATTAATGCACCACAACTCTTAATAGACTTCTCTAATGAGTCTACGTTTTTTAACAATACTACAAAACATTTATAGACTCACTTTGACAATATAAAAACAGGGTATTTTTAAAACAGAAGTTTTAACTACCTCAAGCAAGTTTCAAATGTATTTAATTCCATAATATAAGGAATTGAAACCTGAGGCTGTCTGAAATGGTGGAAAACTGCTCGACAGTCTAAAAAATAACCACATGCTTTGAAATGTCTTTGCAGCAATGTAAATGCATGTGTAGGCTGAACCATAGAAAACAGTGGTTTGACCTTTAAGGGAAGCGGGCAAATCCGTATTTTCAGGGGACTGAGATAATAATACAAGTCATTCTTGGAGGCCAATCATCGACAAGATTCTGCTTTCACAAAGCTTCATCATCACTGTAAACTGATGGTTCAATATGAATGGTCTATGCAGGCAAAAAGCACATTTGAAAAGCCTTAAGTGGTCTAGTAGCTCCTGGTATTAAAGTTCCTGTGGTTTGAAGTCTATGGCTGCGTCTCACTTCGGTTATTTTTCATTTCCTCGCTCCTCGGTCTCAGTATCACCGGAAGTTGATTCGTCTGCGCCATCTTGAGTAGCGTCCCAGTGTCCTTATTTGTGCCGGAGGACCGAGGAGCGATAACGGAGGAGCGATAGTCGAGGAACTACCAGACCATCCTCCGGTCAAATCCTCAGACACTCGCCCCGCCCCCTTACTGTGTATCGCTCACTGATTGGACGATGCAGCCCATGCACTGATCTGGCTGCTGTCAGACGATCAGCTGTGCGGCGTCATCACAAACGGACGTCGCTTCACGTGACGCTCCGGAGGAAAGGACGTCCCATTGCTCTTAAAACTCATTTCCCTGCTTCTCGTGGTTTCCTTGCGTCTCTCCATGCTTCCCTGGTGGGAGGGACTAAACGCAGGGAAACGACGCAAGTGAGGGACGCAAGGATTTAATTTAACCGAAGTGAGATGCACCTTATGTTCCTGTTCTAATGTTCCTGTAATCAGCCTTATTGTCTTCTGATTGTTCTCTGCTGCTGTGCTGTTGGAGCTTTTATTGCTGTATTAAAGCTACTGTACTGTATTCACATTTCCAAGCTATTGAGAACCGTGAACACACAAACAACAGGAACTGTTGTAAAGCAGATAGTCTTGTATTATTCACACTCATTACAGGATCTAGTCAAAGTTCCTCAAAGCACTTCATGCCCCCGGTATCAAAATGTTATGGAAATACAGCATCTCTCTCTCCCTGGGGTATACATGAGAGAGGAGTTGGCCCCGTAACTCATGAGGGCGATTCCTTACAGTATGTCATTCTGGTGCTGCTGTGGGGCGAAGGGAGCTGCACAGGCTTGTTCCTGTTTATTACAACATGGGTGCAAACTGCCAGGGAAGCAGATGGAACAAGGGGAGCAAGCTAACACACATACCATCCCAACCTCACATACATTAAGATTGCAGGCAGACTGGATGTAGATAGAAACAGTAAGAGTGTGAAAAGGGCTGACGTAAAAAGGCTTACACAACACGGTGTCCGATCAGCAAACACAGACTTAAACATAGATGTGATACATAGGAAGGAGTAAATAAACAATGATTCATCCTATTCCTTTCAATGGGAGAGACATTCCTCAACATGGAAGACACAGCTGGGTGTACAGACTGGACACCATGCCTTGATGAGTAAATGTCTGTAAAGTCCTACACATGGACTTGAAAATTCTACTGAATAAGTACATTAAAACAGCGCTCGCTGGTCATGTTTATGACCCGTTTCACAAAGTTCATTAACATTTTTGGACCGTTCTGTACACTAATCTTTACAAACCCTGTCTCAAGATTGTCTCAATAGTCCTGGTTTTTCACAACCATGGGAAATTTGGGAAACAGCAGCCTTGTAAGGTTAATCATCACCCCGTTGTGAGAGAAATGTACCACAGAGACCAATTGTTTGGTCACTGTGACACACAGAGAAATACAATGAGCAGGAAGTGGGCGACTTGACAATTGCAAAAAAGGAAAGAAAATGGACACAATGTTCAATAGATTAGCCTGTCCAGATAAAAAAGTACTATTGTTGAGTGTTTGACCAATATCTTAATGACCCAGATTAGTTTTTATCTTGTTCTGCAGTTTATGACCGCAGACTTCTGGTGCTTTCCGTCTGAAAAGTACTTCTGGAGCAGCACATCATATATTTTACTCAAGGCAACTTCTTGTTAATCCGACACTCTTATAATGATTACAGATAAATAAACATGGTGACAAATTAATGTTTGTATGGTAGACCTCGGTATGGTTGTACTGCCGACTAAAACACAGTTTCAACTCAGAGCTGCCCGCCACATGACAGATGGTTGTTTAGTTTTAGGGGGTAAAAGAGATTTAGAGGCAGCAATATCCAATGCCACTTGCCCACAGCACCGTCCCAAATGATTGCTCTAAATATTCATCACAAGAAATCAGATCACAAATGTCTTGCATGGCGAAATTAATCACAAAATGTGGTAGGGGGAAATTGCAGGGTGATACATTGGGTAGCCAACCGTAGAGAAATACTAATTACAAGGAGCAGAAGGAAGCTTGAATGGATGAGCACTACAGTACATGCAGTTATAAGACTTTGATGGGTGTTTTGGGGTGGATGAGGAAATCCACCATCATTTGTTTAGACTTAACTTTACCCTTACTCACCTATTTAGAAAGAGTTTGTGGTATATTGAGTAATGTATTCATGCTGTCAACCTGAGTTTCCCTGCTGGGATCAATAAAGGTCTGTTTTATCTTATCAATAAGGTGCCAGGAAATATGATTGGTAGTAAATAGATATTTCATGGTGACGCTGGACAAGTTCAAATGGATGGTGGATAGTAAATATGTTGGGGGTGATACATGTGTGACACTGGCAAGGTAGTTAGTCCCCTGGTTTAGTGGCCAATACTAACTGAAAAGGGAAACCATATGGTGTAAATATGTGCGTGTGAAATATAATACTTGGCAGAACAGGACACAGGTGCAGGTTTAACATTATTCATGGCTCTGTTTCAATTCTCCCTGTAGACCATGCCTTTGAGCCAGCAGCCATAGTACCAGAGTCCTGGGACTAGTACACATCAATGCAGTGCATTAGTATTTAAGCTTATTTGAATGACGAAACTAACAACCGTTCAGGATAAACACAGCTTTAGACATCAGGAGTTTTTAACACTGAAGAAACGCTAATCTGCTTCATCATGTGGTGTGGTTTGATCAGACAGTGGTCTGACAACATCAGCAAACAACCGCAAAACCGTCATTACATTTAGTTTGAAATGCTGTTAAAGTAATGTGACATGGTCTTTTTCAAACTGAGCCCTGCCCACTTCAAAACAGTAAAGAGTGTACATCAAGATTGCTGATATAAAATTACAAAAAGCTTTGGTAGACAATGGTGTATTCATGTAGGTGAACATAGTAAGGCATATTGAAAAAAAAGTTACTCCGGCCAGAATATTCCCGTATGTGTAAAGTGAAAAGGCCTTTAGAAATATTTGCAGACTTGCCCTGAAATCGTAACAGATTTTCATTTTCAAACATTTACATTTACTGCGATCCTACCTGATGGTTTGGTTTGTGCTGGGAGGAAGTCCCCGGGATGTTGAGCGAGTGACTCCTGGTGACGGCCGCTCCCGTTGAAGCTCTCCTGGATTGCGAGCGGACCGTCAGCGATGCCTTCTCCTCCGGCGGGGGGCTGCTGCTGCTGCTAGTGTTCCCTTCAGTCTCAAGCACTGCATCCCAAGGGTCCCCTGCCACTGTCGGTACTGTCTGTGCATCGGCCGCTGATGCCGGAGTCGCTTCGTCATTCTCAGCTTTACGCTTTGTAAGTGGGTCTAAATCCAGCCAGTCAAAGCGACTGATGCTAGAAGATTCCACCCCCGCTGGCTGCTGGGGAGGCGGGTTAGGAGCCAGAGAAGCCGGGCGCGCTATCGAGGAATCCAGTTCAGTGATGGCCAATTTGCCGTTCTTCAAGTATTCTGAGGTGCTGGCAATCTTGTCTAACAGTTTGGCCATCCCAGGGTCCACTGCTGGCTGATGGAAGATCATGGCAGCAGCGGGCTGGATGGGAGTGAAGGACATGAAGGATGGCTGCTGCGCCGACATCGTCATGAAGGGCGACATGGTTGGAGTGAAGCCGTTCTGAAATGTGCCGGGTTTGGGGAACGGAGCAGAGGGGAACATTGGGGGAGGCTGATGAGTGGGAGTGGACACACTGGAGTTAGACGGGGTGGACAGAACAGGTGTCCACTGGTTGCTCTGGAAGGGAGAGGAGGGGCAGGCATGGCCTCCAGGGTAGGACGCACTGAGGTTAAACCCCAGTAGTGAAGAGGGGCGAGACACTTTGCTGTTCATCCCAAAGTTATCATCCAGGAGGAGCTTTTCAAGTTCCTCATTGGTCAGCTTTTCCACATCAATATCCCTGAACGTATCCTGTTGTGCCTTCTTCTTGGCCTCTGGGAAGACGATGAGGTCCTTCTCAGGTCTATTATTTCCAGGTGAAGGACGAGGAGCAGTAGTGGTGGAGTTAAAAGGTTTTGGTTTCGAGGAAGATGAGGATATTGGAACTGGAAGAGTGGGTCTCTTATCCCTTTGCAATTTCGCTAAAGCCTCTTCCTCCATGCGCAGAGCTTCCTCTTTACCCACAACCCCCTTTGACTTGGGGACATCCACCTTGAACCCATTACCACTTGATATCTGGGCCATTCTGTCAACTGCAGGGTGCCATGAGTGACAGCTTTTACGTCAGTGTGGCTCAAAGGGCTGCACAGCAAAACTTTAGACACCTAAGAAAGGAAAAACAACAACATTTGGATTATGGCAGATTGTATCATTTCGGAATAGACTATCAAATCACACCAGAAATATTATAGTATATATAATTATAATTGCCAGTCAAGGTAATATTTGTATAACAGGATGTCGACAGAATCTAGATCAAATATTGTTTATTGTGTACTGTATGATGTCTAATGCCAGCCTAATTTGTTAATTGGCATTTCTTTATTGAAGTTTTCCCTTTGTCTTGTTGCTGTAAGCAGACTCTGATTGCTTATTGATTTTCTCCCATTTGTCACAATGCAAAGCCTATAATTACTTGCGCTTGTTTTGAAGTCAAGGGTATCAATTAGGTCACTTAACGGGCATGTTCGTTACATTTAAATTGATCAGATCACTCACAACAAGCTTCCCTCCATCAGCGTGCTTCTACGATGTTCACCTTGACAATGTAGGGGTCACAGCGCAATGGTTTAACCAAGCAGCCGTACTGACCACATAGCATAAAAGGTAGAGATGTCCCGATCCGATCACGTGATCGGGGATCGGAGCCGATCACGTGATTTTCAAAAGATCGGAAGAAAAAAATCGGGGATCGGAATTTTTTTTTTTTTTTTAATAAAAATATTTTTCTTATTTTATTTAATGTTACAAAACAAAAATGACCATGTTCACGTCTTAAAGTCATCCTGAGGCCTTAGTTTTGGTTTAAAATTACACAACATCATGTATGTGTTGCTTCTTTTGGGCTTGTTTTCATAGACCTGGTTGCTTATTTCTCTCAAATCTGGCAACAGAGTGGGCGCAGTGTCTAATAGTAGCAGTAAGCTAACGAGAGGCTACGTTCAGCTGGTGACTCGGGAGTCGGGACAGAGAAAATGTCAGGAGTTTGGAAGTATTATAAAATTGAAAGCAAAGGCAGTGTAACAGCCAGATGCAATGTTTGCAAGGCGGAGGTTCCGCGTGGTGGAAAGAACAGAGCTACGTTCAACACGACCAATCTAATACAAACACCACCAACAACACGACGAGTACACAGCGGCCACTCGGGTAACGGCACTGAAACAACCGACACTTTCAGAGACTTTTAAAAGGAAAGAGAAACTGCCCCAGAACAGTGAAAAGGCCAAAAAAATAACAGCCAAGATAGCTGAATTCATCGCGTTGGATGACCAGCCGTTATCTGTGGTGGAGAACGTGAGGTTTAAGGGACAACTTGAATGCTTTTCTCCTTTTTTTTTTTCTCTTAATGCATTGCATAAAGATCGGATCGGGAAAAATCGGTATCGGCAGATTGTCAAAATCAAATGATCGGAATCGGATCGGGAGCAAAAAAAGGTGATCGGGACATCCCTAATAAAAGGAATTGTGCAAAGTGATTTATAACACCAGTTGACATGTGACTCACACCATTTATCGGCAAGTAACTTCTGTGCAGGAAAGCGTCTAGCAATTCATTGTTACATTTTCAGATCTCACTATCAGATCTCAAGTTGATGTCATGAAACATGTTTTTCCCAAGTTAATCCCAAAAAAGGGCATCTTCCATTCTTGATCATCCTAAATAGTTATGGTTAGCCTACAACAGCCCACTACGTCTATAAAGTGAGGAAAACATTGCTGCAGAGTGTCTTGTGGTCCCAAAATGACACAGCGCCTTCTCAAAGCGACCATTCATCGGCCCCATCACAGCCCCAGGGTTGAGTGAGTTTCTTCCCTCCCCAGGCGTCACCGGCCTCTCCTGAGCTTCCCCTCCCATTGTGGTGGAGAGGGCAGGCTAGGGCTCAGGCTAGCCTAGCACTATTGTGCAGCTGAGGAATTTGGCACGCTAAGCAGCACAACGGGTCTCTCGCTCTCCTCCTTTTGGCCTTCTCTCGCTCTGTTAGCATTATGTTAGCACCATGGCCCCAAGATTGTCTTATCAGCTGTGCTAACACCAGCGGGCAGTGACAATGTGGCTGCATTCATTAAGCATTGGACTAGAAGAGGGTGCTGCCAACTTTGCCAAGAACACAGTTTAGGGACATTAAAATGCATCAAAAGAGAGGTCATTGTCTTTTGGCGCCTGCTGTCACTGATGGCTTAACCATCTGCAGAAATGCTATGACCAAAGTAGATCATCCGTATATATATTATTGATTTTGCCCACAGTTAGAGTGCATGCTCCGACAGACTGGAGCTTAGATGTTAAAGTAACTGTTCAATAACAAAAAAGGTCAAATCCTATGCTGCCAAGTGTCCAGTTAACACACTATGACAGAGACTACACAGCAGCTACATGCTGACTCTGTATGTAAACAATTAATCAATTTCACGTGTGATTAAAGTTCATTACCATCGGTCCTGATTTTTTGAGTGTTGCAAATGCTGGGCAGATCAATCCAATAACAATTCCATACAATGGGTTCCATGCTAATCCATTGAGCTACACTTAAATGACCAAACCTTTGGCTAAACACAGATGATCCTGACTCAAGATAACCATATGCTTAGAGTCCATATATGGCAAAAGGAGACATTCAATGGAGGAAAGCCCCACTTGTGGAGAAATGCCCACTGCAGCCAAGACAAATACCCTTTTTGCAATGCACCATGGTGAAGGATGGAAGAGTCCGGGTCCTGTAAGAGCTGTTTAACATGACATTACTACTGTTTGAGCACCACCATTATTTTAAGCTTTTGACATACTGTTTACTTTAATTTGGCCATTAGGTAGATTTAGGTTCGTAAGAGCGTCTTCATCGCTTGGTCTGACAGGACAACATCATGTTTATCAGGTTGTTCAAGATTTGCGATAATGCTTACTGACGTTTAAGCCGATACTGTATATTCTAGGGATGCTCCGATCGCCAATCCGATCGAGTGGGCGGGGCCTATGGGGATCTTCCATTTAAAGTGATGTTTAAAACTCAGTTAATGGGGCTCATTCACTGGCGCTTCCACAAACAACAACCAACATAATTATTACATTCAAAAAAAATCTACCAGCCTTAAAACTGTGCAAAAAATTAAATCCAGTGTATCTTATGCAAAGTCATATCAGGTGGATACTAGGGATGGGAATTTGAAAGCAAATGTATATTCGAATATTCGACCCCCAAAAAAACGGTTAACCGATTAACCGAAATGTACATATCCTATAAAAAAATCAAAAGAATGTGGGAAAAATCTTTACAAAAAATAAATAAATACATACAAAATAAATACATGTTCAAATAAGTATAGAAACCAAGTCGAATTTGGCAAATGTATTGAACTGGTGATCACAGTTTGAACAGTTGACAGCTATAGGCCTACAGCTTTCATGCTTCAAACATAACTTGGTTTTTAAATGAAAGAGGGATCATACACGAACAACATAACGGGTTAGGGTAACGTAACCCTATCACAACAGAGATCAACAACCTATAACAGGGCCTATGCACAGAATGCAGCTATTCAATACTCATTCTTGTTTAAGAATATGAGCATGTCTACTCAGGGGAGAGGCGGGTGCGGAGGCGATTCACAATCAGGCCAGCTGTAGAGAAGACCCTCTCAGCTGGAATTTGGGCATAAGATGAGGTTTGAGTCTGCGTGATCTGCGTGTAGGGAGGGGCAGCAGCCATATCATTATCTAGAACTAGCTAGATCTGATGGATTTGGACATAAACATGAGTGAAGTATAACCAGAGAGAGAGAGAGATCAGCACCTGCAGCTCTGCCCGCTGTGAGGGACCGGTGAGCGGAGCAAAACACACCTTGAGACCTAACACACTTAGCTATGGCACTGTCGTATACATTGAATTATTCCATTTGATAATATGTAATCACCTAAGGCACCCCTCCCAACAAAAAAAAAAATATTCGAATATTCGATTAATTGTTCCCATCCCTAGTGGATACCTTCCAAAGCTATAGTTGTTTTAGTTTAAAATCCTTCCTTTTGTAACTCAAGGAAAGAAAAGGGTTGTTTTATGTACCATAGACACCTCTCATTCAGACTGCTTCAGATAAACTGTGGAAAACATTTTGTCACAAAAAGATGATTGTTAAATTTGGAGTGGATCTCTTAATGACAGGAGTCTCACTCAGAGCAAACATGGCTTTTATTTTTCAAGGCAGACTTAAACAACGGTGGACCTATCTTGACCTTATAGGACCGAGTAAGAGTTTTTCTTTCCAAGAGCTGAGCAAATGTGCAGATGTTAGCAGAAACACTGCAAAACAGCAACATCTTTAAAGACATCTTTAAAAGTGAAAATAAGTAACCAGGTCAAGTTTATACGTTTGTAAGATACAACCAGTGGTTGTTAGAAAGGTTAACAATATACTAAAACTTTTTTTTCCTGCACTGGCTTGTGTAATGCTGAGGCTTGACTTTTCAAAACATTAAGTCTATAAAAAGAAACAAAACCTGAAGGGGCACTGCGGAGTGAAATCCCAAATGTTGTTCACTTGGCCAGCTGTGGCTTATTCTGACAACTGTTGTATCCTATAACTGTATTTACAAATGCATGCAAAGTAACAACACCTCCATGAAAAGTTTCTCTCTTTAATACTGTAAGTACTGTAAACTACACTGACTTAAGTACTGTATTTGTGTAAGTCTGCAGGTACTTGATCTTTACTTGATTATTTTTATTTCACATTACTTAAAGGTGGGGTAGGTAAGTTTGAGAAACTGGCTCGAGATACACTTTTTGTTATATTCCATGGAATGCTCTTAACATCCCGATAGCAATGAATATCTTAAGTGCTTTGACAAAAAATCCATTAAAAAAATGTCATCTGTGGAAGCCGTAGTACTGTAAAAAGCACGACCAATCATTTTAGCCGGCCCGGCTAAAATGATTGGATGGCCTACCTGCCTGTCAGCCTTCCATCTGTGCACAAACTTATCTCGTGCCCTCATTGGTCATGTGCGCGTTCGTGTGTGTTGGAGGAGGAGCTCTGTAAGGAAGTGGCAGATTTTTTCCGGCTGTGTATTTTCAAATTCTAGCACACTCAAGCTGGTTTCTCCAAAATTACCTACCCCACCTTTAATACTACACTACATTTCTGAGGCCAATGATTAAGCTTTTCGATTTTTTTGTTACAACTTATGTTTTTCACAAGCTTTGTATGATAACTTTGGTTACTTTGCAATTGAATAATCTTATCATCAAATCAATGATGATGTATTATTATGGATGAAACCTCCCAGCAAAAATCTAAATATTCACTTGAATGAGTCAGTGTTTCATCTGATCCCAAGTGTTGACAGTTAGCAGAGGGGTATTGTGTAATCACAAGACACAAAATCATTCGTCAGAAATGTGATAGTTGTCTTTTCACACGTCAGTCACACTACAAAGCAATCAACTTACTGTACAAGAGTATTTCTAAGTCTTTAAAATACATGTATACAACCAAATATCCTATATAACTAGTAGGCTAATGTTACTAAGTACATTTACTCAAGTACTGTACGTAAACAATTGAGGAACATGTACTTTACTTTAGTGTTTTCACATGATGCTACTTTATACTTTTACTCCATTACATTTTGTAGGCAAATTATGCACTTTTTACTCCACCACATGTATTTTAAAGATTTAGTTACTAGTTTTAGTTGATTAATACACAATTCAAATCCACACTTTAATAATATGTTATTAGTCAAGCAATACATTTGTGTATAAAGTAATTAAAATAAACCCCAATTTTACCAAATGCAAAATTGAAGCACAAATGCAGAGATAATTATTAACATCTGGTGTTTCTAATTCTAATTTTGCTTGACGAGTACTTCGGGTACTTAAAGTATTATTTAATGCTTGTACTTTTTTACTTTTATTTTTGTACAATTTTCAATGCAGGACTTTTACTTGTAAGTGAGTATCTTTACACTGTAGTATTGCTACTTTTACTTAAGTTAAATTATCTGAGTACTGCTTCCACCGCTGTATAACCATGTTTAGCCCTCTAACTCGGCTAGCTAACTGACCTGTCGGTTGATGCTCACCTGACAAATGATTCGTCGAGGAACGTCAATACGTCTTCAAACGCTTGTTTTTCTCACCCTTTAACGCTTAACATCTTAAAATAGCACCTAAATTGTACTTACTATGAGATGCTAGCTACTTTAAACAGCTAATAAGAACGTCATGAAGCTAAACAACTTGGCTATCCCGATCAAATGCCACCTATTGATACTTTTGATAGCGGTTGGAACCCTAGGAAGTGCGCCGGCCGTTGAAGCCAATTGTCGTAGTGGCCAAACGGCGGTGCTACAGCTTCCGTGACGTCACGGGGCCCAAAAATACTTTTTTCCCATTGACTTACATTGGGAAAGAGAAGTCCATAAATCAGTTTAAAATCATTTTTTAACTAAATAAACTACCCAGAATGAACATTTCTATTGCCCTTATTTAAATCAGTAGTTTCTAAAAGTTTTTAAATGGACTAAGCTGAAACCAGAGTTATTTTCCCTCTCCATTCATTTGACTGAGCAGAGAGCAGGAGATCGGAGGCGGGGCTTCAGGAAAACTCTACTGCGCATGCTCTATGGGCCCACATACGGGTACTTTGGCTCAGGCAATTTTGGCTTCATGCGTCACCGGGCAACTTCCATAGGAATGAACGGGGTCCCGCCTCCAACGCTGTGTGCAGTTGTCTTTATACATCCATGGTTGGAACTTTAACTTTGTTGAATGCTAAGTCAGCCGCTTACCCCAACAAAACCGTACACATAACACACGCATCGTTCACAGAAACGTAAAGATAAACTAAATGCAGCAACGTAATACATACGTAAATACATTACATGCCTGCTCCGTACTTTAACAGACACTGATTTATAATTTAAAAGTACCAAGGCAACTGCTGTGGTCCTGCCAAGTGCCCACAACAAGGAGGAAATGCAGAGTTTGTCACACGGGAAACGGACAGATGCTACGGAGCCTTAACCACCGATTTAAAGCAACTACAAGATACAACTTTAACACGCATTACATTTACTGTACAAACGTCAATTTCTCACCTTTTAGCGGTGCGGTGTTTGGAGCCATTTTTCCTGCAGCTGCATTTTTTTCCATCCACTTGCACTGAGGAGACGTCAGTTCCTGTTGAGGTGGTTGGATGGAGTTTTGGTTGGATTGCTGGTGTCTTTACTCAACGTTAAATGGGAAAGCAATGCCACCGTGTGGAATAAAGGAGTCAGTGTCGAAATCATAGACTGTATATATAGGTTGAAATATACTTAATTTTGTGAATTCTGTAGGGATACACAGAAAAGGTCAGGACAAGTTCAGCATGTTGTATGCAGTATTGCAACATTAAAACACTACTAGTGCTGGAAGAAGAACTGAGAAATGTTTCATCACCCTTTTTCCTCATTTTGAAAATATCTGCGTTTACAAATATGATACAATATTGTTGATACTCACTTTTATTATTATTATTTTTATTTCACATTACTTAAAGGTGGGGTAGGTACGTTTGAGAAACCGGCTTGAGATACACTTTTTGTTATATTCCATGGAATGCTCTTAACATCCCGATAGCAATGAATATCTTAAGTGCTTTGACAAAAAATCCATAAAAAAATGTCATCTGTGGAAGCCGTAGTACTGTAAAAAGCACGACCAATCATTTTAGCCGGCCCGGCTAAAATAACTGGATGGCCTACCTGCCTGTCAGCCTTCCATCTGTGCACAAACTTATCTCGTGCCCTCATTGGTCATGTGCGCGTTCGTGTGTGTTGGAGGAGGGGCTCTGTAAGGAAGTGGCAGATTTTTTCCGGCTGTGTATTTTCAAATTCTAGCACACTCGAGCTGGTTTCTCCAAAATTACCTATCCCACCTTTAATGTCATTTTTTAACCCACATCAGGCCTGATTGTAATGGTCAAATGTCCAGTTTACACATATATTGACATTTGTTTACATACATACATTTACATATAACATTCTTTTCTTTTTTATAGGAAAATCTCTCATTCATCATTTATTTTTTGTCAGTATTTTGGCTACACAGTTTATTATAAACTTATTTTAGGAAAGCTGAGTTTTCACTTCCACATTTATTTATGTTTAAACCCACACACCCTTGACAAGATGTATGCTATATGCACATGCAAAAATAATCGATTAATTAAACATTAAAAGCCAAAAATGTCCATAGTGATGCACAACAGGTTAAGTAAAATAAGTAATACCAACGTTTTTAAATATGCTGGTTCAAGTAAGAGTCCTTCATTCAAAGTCTAACTTAAGTCAGAGTGCATAAGTAAAATGTTAAAAATATTATTATATAGTATGTTTATTCTTAGTAAACACAACCTTATGCTTGTGTTTGAGTGACATGATAACAGCACATTTTATTAAATAATTTACAAAAATACTGTAATGCATAGTAGCTTATTCAAGCACTCTACTTAAGTATAGTTTGGGGAGTATACTAAGTATCGTATTTTGTTGCTGTTGCTAGTCCTTTGTTATTTTTACATCAATGTTTCTTGGGTTTTTTTCTTTCACGTTTTCTGAAGTTATATTTATATTCATGTCATTTACATGTCTGTATTAAATAAAATAAACAAGGACAATTTCAAAAACGATTTTGGTGTCTTATTGAATGGATCATACATAAAGCTGCTTGATACAAATGGTGTAAACTTTAAGATATAGTTTAATCCTATTAGTAATAATTTATCCCAGTTTAATTTTATACTGAACCTTTATGCTGTCGTGTACAAACCAGACATCAACACATAATTAACTATCAGTAATCCAGTTTCAAAATATGGATGTTTCTTACATCAAGCATTAACTCCGCCCTGTCTGAACGCCACGTACAGTTTGGCTCAACGCACCTTAAGCCACGGGTTGCCAGTTTGAGACACTTTGATTGACAGGTCAAACGCCCAATCAGTTCTCAACGCGACTGTTTTACAAACAAAGTGTACTTGTTTGGACCAATCAGGAACGTAGAAGGCGGGGCGTTGCCATGGTGAACGTAACCTTTTTTCCCCCTGTAGGTTGTAGCATCGGAAAGCTCGGTGGTGGATGACATCTGTAAACAAGCTCCAGTGAAGCTGGAAACTAAACGATAAAAACGCGGTAAAGAGTGAAAAAGAAGAGCTCGAAGTAAGTGTCTTGTGTTTTTATTTATAATTGACATTAATTACATTTACTGAGGCTTATTATTTGTAGCTTTCGACAGCCATAGGATAATGAATTAACTAGCAATGCATCTTCCCCAGACATACTGTTTTCTGAATGAAACGGTTAGCTTGTTTGTTTTTCCTGAAATGTGAGTTGCTTTTCCAATTAATAAGGTTATGGTATAATAATTGTTTAAAGTAAGCTTGCTGTGCCTTTATCCACTAAACACGTGTGTTGCACAGTCCTCTGCTTGTAGCTTTTGAGATTATGGCTAACTTGCATAATCCTGTATTGTTTACAGAGAAATTTGAGAAACTCAGGGTGTTTTCTTTTGTAAGGATTAAGCACATGATTGCTCTGTACTTGTAAGACATTTGAGCCTCAGAAAATGTCTCATACAATTTCAAAGCTCATTCATGTAACATTAAACAAATATGATTTAACCAAATAAAGCATGGCAAGCTATTTATATGGCTTAAATCAACATCATGAAGGCAATTCAAAGTGAATACAAAAACATTAAAGCATAAAGTAATGGACCAGGAACACATTATACAATTAGATTTAAATACATACAAAAACAGTGAAGGTAATATCAATAAAATAAAGCTGATATGTTAGGCTATAAAATACAAGAATACAAGTCACCGTAAGATGTCCATTGTTACTTTATTTATTAAAATGAAAACCTTGATTTAAAAGAAGTTTTAACTCTTATTTTCTTGATTTTCTACCTAACCAGATGGTGAGGGGTAACTCTTTGGTCCACTGTGGGCTGGTTCTGCTGAGTTTGTGGCTGTGTATCCAGTCAGTGCCCATCAGTGTGGACCGGTCCAAAGAAAAGTCTCCGGTGCAGGAACTGGAGGCCCCACAGAGCGCTGTGAGTATGCATGGGACAAGATGAACATTTCCTCTCAAAATGATCATGCCCATAATAATTGAACTGAAGACTTGTTCCAAATAATCATCAAAATATGCTTAACAATCTAAAAATGGCACTTCAACTGGAATCAATTCACTTTACATGTTGTTGAGAAACAATATGTGTATTGAATTGTGTTTTTAAAAAAGAATCTGATGATGATAAATCATAGGGTCTCTTTGCATTAATAAAGGATACAAATTGAACAGCAATATTGTGTGCCTGACCTTTTTCTATGAGCTTTTTCATACATTTTTTTAATCAGACTGTATCAATCAATACATCCTCTGTCCTGATGTTATTGGGAGAGTTTTATCAGCTGTAAAACCCTATAATGTCCAATCCCTAGCTGTGAGTCAGATGGACCACAATATCACATTTAAATCCAGGTCTTAATCTAACTAAACAAAATGCACCTTAGTCACCTAAAGGAGGGAGTCCTTTAGGCTCACAGTGTCTCAGATGGCGGTTTCACATGGAAAGCAGATTATCTTCTGGGTTAAAGGTTGTCAGTGGGTTTGAGAGTAAATGCCCAAAACAAACAAGACCATTAGTAGCCACCGCTCATTAGCAAGAGTGAATTGACACAAGCGTTTTCCATGATGGCCGGTAGTCAGGTTAGATATTAACAAGGTAATTGCAGCTTTTGGTCCTCTACCAACAAACGCTGATGTGTGCTCTGCTTTTCTTCAGGAGACTGGGCTGCACTACGACCGCTACCTCAGGGAAGTCATCGAGTTCCTGGAGAAAGACCCCCACTTTAAAGAGAAGCTCAAAAATGCCAACATGGATGACATCAAGGTATGTCTTGCACACTCACTGGACATGCAGTTATTTTGCAAGCTCTTTGTTGACATGAACATTTCGTAATTGAACCGTGGTTTGTTGATGTTCTGCTTGCAGCAAGGCAAACTTGCCAAAGAGCTGAACTTTGTCCAACACAATTTCCGTACGAAGCTGGACGAGCTGAAGAGGGAGGAGATGAACCGGCTGCGGATGCTCATCAAAGTCAAACACGACATTCAGGGAGGGAGCGGTGAGTCTGGTGTGTCCCTTACAAACTTGTGCTTTCTGAAGTTTCTCAACAAATGTTGTAATACTATAAACTTCAGAGTCATTGAAGATAGGATGCAACTCTTAGAAAGAGGAACATGATGTAATACCAGCAGTAACTTGTATTGGGTATTGAGTTCTGTAAAGTTAGTTTAAATACTGTACACTTTAAGACCAGAAGCACAAGCTGAAGTTACATCCCACATACTTACACAAAAAACCTTTGCTCATTGTACTTTTGTTGAAATTTGAGCTGAAACTTAAGTAAACAAAGCCAGTGCTTGTACAGCTGTGTGTCAGAAACACAACTCAAGCACAACATGTGTCTGTAAAGGTCAGGAAAAGAGTGTTTGCAATGACACAATATCTCTTTTTGAAGTCTAAAATCAGTTATACATCTGTTTCATATTTTAAGTTCCTACTCATAGAGAAATATTGAAATAGTTTTCTTCTATTAATCTCCATACTGCTTCAGTTCATGTTTCTCCCTCTTCACAGCCTACAGGCATATGGCCTTGGGGCTATGGCATGGTAGTGTACGGAGATTAGCTGTTTCTCAGACTCTCTTCATCAGCTGTGTTAAGAGATGACCTCCTTCTTACTTCTGTATATGCATGAAGCAAGGTTGTCAACACGCTCTGCTTCAGGGACTGACTATATGCCAGGAGTAAGAAAGTTAGCTTATCTGACTGTGGCTTCTCTGCAAGAATCCAACTGGTTATGTCTTACTGATTGAACGTTTGATGACCAGCTTTCTGTTGCTGAAAGGAGATAGAACCACAGAGTTGGTTTGGGCAGAGGATCTGTCACTACAGTGTCTTAGCTATTGTCGATTCTCCAACTGAAGTCTTCAGTGTCTGACATGAGTTTGAAGCTCTCCTGCGTACTCCTTCTGGTTCTTTGCTCCAAACCCTGGATCTATTATGGTTAAATAAAATGTTCATTCTCCCCTCCTTGCAGACCGGACCGTGGACCACCAGTCTCTGCTGAAGCAGTTTGAGCACCTCAGCCACCAGAACCCCAACACCTTCGAGGTGGAGGACCTGGACCAGCTCATCCAATCGGTACAGAACACCTAAAGCACCTGAGCACAGTCACCAAATAGACCTTTCCTGTAGTAGGTCTGACTCTTCAGCTGTTACAGTTGCAGCTCCTCATTCATTGTTAAGCCTTTGTTTAACCAGGTCAATAAAACAGCACTTAGATTAGAGTAACATACACAATAATCTTCTTCTGTACACAGATAAACTGGACACTTGTTCAGTAATACATTTTGTTTGTTGAAATCAGTGTGTAGATGTAGTTGTTGCATACAATCTAAACACTTTGATTGTAATTGTATATCACATAAAGAGAAAAAAGCAAAGCCCTACAACTCATTAGGTGAGGTTGATCATCATGACGCAGCATTCCCAGATGTGAAGAGGATGGATTTGTTTTTGCCTTAGTAAACATCTAACACAGCCAAAATAAAGCAATGACTCATTCCAGAGGATTCTGGTTGTGGCTTCAGAGCATATTTGCTGCTCCAGTAGCACAAATAGGGTAACGTTTCACCACAGAATCCAACAGACACACACAGCAGCCACACACACTCTCGTTATCGTACTGATTGCTTCATCTAGTTGGAGTGAGTGTTTATTCTTTGGATAGATAAAACTATCTAGCTCACGTGAGCATGTTCCCTACACTGTGTGTGGATACTGTAGATCTGCTGCTTACAGTATATGTACCTGCATCACAGTCATACCTATAATCACAGTTTGCCTCATACTATTGCTATAATTAGGATGATGAGACGAGAGAATTACAGGTGTGTACAGTAAGCTGTGATTCTCACGAGTGCTCACATGTCAGCTACTTTAACAGGTCTGGCATTTCTCGATTTTAAGTGTATTAATATGTCCTTTTGTTGGAGAGCACAGAGAGAGAACATCTTCTGTGATCTGTCATGTGTTTCTGGTTTTACACTGACTGGACATGTCATGAATCATCTCTTTCATTTCATCTGTAGGCGACCAAAGACCTGGAGAACTTCGACAAGGACCGCCACGATGAGTTCAAGAATTACGAGTTGACGAAGGAGCACGAGAGGAGGGAACGTCTGAAGACCATGAGCGAGGAGACTCGCCAGCAGGAGGAGAAGCACTACGAGCAGCTGAGGAAGAAACACGCTGACCATGCAAAAGTGAACCATCCGGTAAGACTCTGACGTATGGGAGTTAAATAATGCCAGTTGTGGAATATAACTACATTCACAAAAGCAATGTCCTTGAGAGCAATTTAGACAGACTTATACTTCAGTAATATTTCCATTTAATGTGACTTCATACTTTTACTCTTTTGTATTGTCGTTCATTCTAGATATGATGCACTACTATACAACTTATCTACCCCAATAGTACACAAAGTATCTAAAAGTGACATGACATAATACCCTAAACAGCTCTTACTCTGAGTACTTCTTTCACCACTGGCTAACGCTAATAGACATTACAACTTATTTCAATGTAGGAGTAGAAATACTTTCACCAGTTACCAGATGATCATTTCAATTTCAAGGATTACTCCATACTTTTGGGAAACGTGTTTGTATTTTGCTCAGTATAAATAAAAACAGGAGCACGTTTTAATTAATTATCAGTAGAAGGTCACAGGGTGGTTGATAAAAATTAGGGATGCTCCGATCGCCAATTTTGGGGCCGATTGCCGATCGCCGGAATCAGTATCTGCCGATACCGATCGCCGATCCGATCGAGTGGGCGGGGCCTAAATGGAAGATTTAAACATCACTTTAAATCTTCCATTTAAAGTGATGTTTAAAACTCAGTTAATGGGGCTCATTCACTGGAGCTTCCACAAACAACAATCAACTTAATTATTACATTCAAATTATGTATATTATTCAAGTTTACATTCACTTTGGATAATACCACGGGAGAAATTAGCAAGCGCTCTCTTTTCCTCTCTCTCCCTCTCTCTCCCTCTCTCTCTCTCCCCCTCTCTCCGTCTCCTGACAGCCCGTCAGTATCGTCTCATGCAGCTCGCTGATCCAGTAATGTGTGAGGCCGACAGTGAAGAATAAACATATTTATAACTAGTTTAGCTTGTTCCAGAGGTAGATAAAATAGCTAAGTGTGTTAGGTCTAACTCTTGTGTGTTCTGCTCCGCTCACACCGTCCATTACAGCGGGTGGAGCTGCAGGGTTTCTGCTTCACACACGTTGCATACCGCTGTTTTACTGTCTTTTTCGGACACCTTAAAATAATGCCAGACCGGTGAAGCCATTTTGGCGAGCTTGTTTTGCCGCGTACAGAGAAAAGTGTCATGTATTTTACGTCATGCGATCGGCCCTCGCGATCGGCATGTTTAGAGAGCACCGATCGATCGGTAGAGAGTGAGTATCGGCAGATCTCGATCGGTGACCGATCGATCGGAGCATCCCTAATAAAAATACATACCACAAAATATAAGTACAAAGAAGGAGGAGAAACCCTGAGGGAAACCCTGTGAGGGATGTGCTTAAAGAAGAATCTAACACTTGTGTGTGTGTGTGTGTGTGTGTGTGTGTGTGTGTGTGTGTGTGTGTGTGTGTGTGTGTGTGTGTGTGGTGTGTGTGTGTGTGTGTGTGTGTGTGTGTGTGTGTGTGTGTGTGTGTGTGTGTGTGGTGTGTGTGTGTGTGTGTGTGTGTGTGTGTGTGTGTGTGTGTGTGTGTGTGTGTGTGTGTGTGTGTGTGTGTGTGTGTGTGTGTGTGTGTGTGTGTGTGTGTGGTGTGTGTGTGTGTGTGTGTGTGTGTGTGTGTGTGTGTGTGTGTGTGTGTGTGTGTGTGGTGTGTGTGTGTGTGTGTGTGTGTGTGTGTGTGTGTGTGTGTGTGTGTGTGTGTGTGTGTGTGTGTGTGTGTGTGTGTGTGTGTGTGTGTGTGTGTGTGTGTGTGTGTGTGTGTGTGTGTGTGTGTGTGTGTGCGCGCAGGGCAGTGAAACCCAGCTGAAGGAGGTGTGGCAGGAGTCGGATGGTATGGACCCAGACAACTTTGATCCCAAGACCTTCTTCAAAATGCACGGTAACCACAGACCATATGTGTCCAAAATACCAAGAACCATTTTCAGTTATCAGAAGATTCCCTTCTTTTCTCTCGCAATAAACGGCCAAGTTTGAATCTAGAATTATTACTACAATATAGTGATAAACATTTGTATTATATCAATCTGATATGACTTCTATAAAAAGTCAATGCCTTTGATTAAAAAAAAGAAGTATGGATGAAATAACGTGTTCATTCATTTTGTGTTGCAGACACTAATGGAGATAGCTTCTTCGATGAGAGCGAGCTTGAAGCTCTCTTCACTAAAGAGGTATTTATTCTAATGTACTTTATATTCCAACCTTTGTTTGGCAAGTTCCGCCTTTGAGGTAAAATGTGCATCTGTGTGTGTCTCCAAGCTGGAGAAGGTGTACAACCCAGAGAACGAGGAAGACGACATGGTTGAGATGGAGGAAGAGAGGCTGCGAATGAGAGAGCACGTTATGAATGAGGTGAGCCAAACACACAGACAGATATGAAGCCTCTTTCATTTTTGTTATTCATACAACAATCATCAACCTTGATCAGGCCACACATTCAAACACAAAGCATTCAGACTCTTTCTATCTGCATTTTAGCACCAGGACACAGCTTTAAGTACATTGCCCCTTTCTCATAATTCATTTTAAAGACCATTTTTGGTCCCTAACATTGACTAAAGCAGCTTAATGTGTTGTTGTTTATTTAGGTGGACACCAACAAAGACAGACTTGTGTCAATGATCGAGTTCATGGCTGCCACTCAGAAGGAGGAGTTCTTGGAAAAGGATGAGTGGGAGGTAAGAGCTTTATTTTATAGAACATTTTGATAGATGCTAATAGACATGTGAGGTTTCTCTCGTACAAATGAAAGTTGTAAAACGTTTTTTGCAGATTGATACGTTTTATCATCAAAAATTGTGTCTGCGTGTGTCTGTGTCTGCGTGTGTGTCTGTGTCTGCGTGTGTGTCGATGTGTCTGCGTGTGTGTCAATGTGTCTGTGTCTGCGTGTGTGTCGATGTGTCCGCGTGTGTGTCGATGTGTCTGTGTGTGTGTCAATGTGTCTGTGTGTGTGTCAATGTGTCTGTGTGTGTGTGTCTGTGTCTGTGTGTGTGTCAATGTGTCTGTGTGTGTGTGTCAATGTGTCTCTGCGTGTGTGTCGATGTGTCTGCGTGTGTGTCAATGTGTCTGTATCTGCGAATGTTTATTTTATAGAACATTTTGATGGGTGCTAATAGAAATGTGAGGTTTCTCTCGTACAAATGCAAAGTTGTAAAACGTTTTTTGCAGATTGATACGTTTTATCATCAAAACTTCATCCCAGTATTTAATCCTTCAGACCATTGTATAATCCCCTGCTCTCCACAGACTTTGGATCAGAACCCGCTCTACACAGAGGAGGAGATGAGAGAGTACGAACAGCATCTGGTCAACGAGGAGAACGACATCCACCAGAAGTCTGTGGAGCTGCAGAAACAGAGGGAGGAGCTGGAGAGGAAACAGGAAGAACTCAGTGCTCAGAAGATCGGCCTGCAGCAGGTGAGCTTCAATCAGTGAAATTCAATCAGGAATCAGGATGTCTTCCCTCAGTAGTCTGCAGGTGCACAACAGGTGAAGTATGGAGTAACATCCACTCAGCAACCCATAGTTCCAGTGCCTTTAAATAATTTACAATTGAGGATATGCATGATTTGCCTGCATTGGAAAGATTCGGTTTGTTTTATCCTGTAGATTCTATAGACATACACTAACACTTATTGTTTAAAGTGCAGGTTAAGGCAAAGAATACCAAATGAATGCTATTTCAGTCAGACAACTCACGTGTTTCTTAATATGTTTATTAGAAGCAGCATATAGTTTGAGTTTGGCGTCTAGGCTCGGGCCTCATCACTCCACAGATTTACAAAGAACATTGAGTGATGATTAGATAACTATCCCCCGAGCCTACAGGTGGAAGCTGGGGTGGTGGGGGGGCAGGTGAGCAGCAGCAACATGAAACACAGCAGCAGGAACATGAACGTAGCAATAGCAAGTGAACACAGCAGTGGCAGCAGCAGCATAGCGAGGCAGAGGCAGGAAGACCTGGCAGCTTAAATAGAGCGGCATGTTTAGGAGAATGTGTTTGGTTGGTTGTAAGAGGGACGAGGTGCGTCACGTGTTAATGTATCATTGGTGCTCGAGTTGACTGCCTGAACTAGCTCGCAGGCTTCGCCCCATTTCTTATCATAAATCAAGCGATATAAGGACGCTTCAAACTGTAACTCCATGTGCAGTTATTGTACCGATTGGTTCCTTTGCTAAACTGAGCAAACCGTACCTATTTTGTGATTCTCTAACATTCTCTTTCTCGTTTTCTCTTCTCAGGCAGTAGAAGAAATGGAAAGGATAAAAGGTGATGTGAAACGTAAGTATCATAATGTAATGATTAGGGCTGATTGGTAACTCTCTTGTTATTATGTAATGCCACGACAGACACAGGAAAGGAGGGTTGGCCTTTTGTGCGCATGACACAAAAAATAAAGAAAAATTAATCAATCAATCACAACTCTGTGTGATAACAAAACTGTCATCAGCTAAAATGAGAAAATAGGCAGAGAAAACGTTACATTTTTTGTAAGTTTCATCATTATCTCGCTGTTCATTAACGTGTGATTATGTGACTCTCTGTTGCAGATCCGGGCGCTGTCGCTGCAGGTGTAGCAACAGGAGGAGCTCCAGTTGTTCCAGGAAACTCTCGCCCTCTTCCCCCCGATGTCCCAGTGCCAGGACACTCTTAGCAGGCTCTGTGTGCTGCCAGTGAGCGTGTATGTGTGTGAGTGTGTGTGGGTGTGTGTGTGTGTTCGCCTTGTTATTATTCCCCATTTTGGTTCAAATGTTCCTTTTTTCTTTAACACCACTTGACGGAAATATGTCTAAATAATAAGCGCACATAAGAGAATCTGATTTCTAGGCTTCAGATTTGGTGCCACTGTCCCACTCTGCCTGCTGTAGCTGCATACATCTGAAGTGTGGAGCTGGTCCAGTTTTCCCTGGGGACAACCCACCCTCTTGTTTTTGTCATTTTAATCACAGCATGACTCTGTTCTCCATGGGAAGTGCTTTGGGATGAAAGGGCGCGGGGGGGGTTGAGCCGAAAGTGAATGTTTTGTTTTGTGCACACTGTAATTCATTGTCACTGATTCTGTCTCTTGGAGGAAATACTTGGGAAATGATTTATTTATCCCATAAAAGAGAGCTGATTGATGCATACAAAATGAATGTCAAAAACGTAACTTCAAAGCTTATGTAGCGCTGCTGCCAAAAGAGTTTATTCACTTTTTTTTCATTTTTGGAACCGTGAAATATCGTTCTTTCTTGAAATACTTTCCTTAATTTCCATATTTGTTTTCTGCTTCAAAATGTGATCATGGATATGAACTTTGGTTTAAACCGTAGGCTCTCAGTTAGTCGGATCACTGTTGATTTTCTTATTTACCTTTTATTCTTTTCTATAAGCTGTAAGAGGACTCCAGACTGCTACAATTACCCACAATCCTCCTGTGAAAATCTTGCACACGAAGCTAAAAAAATCCTTCTTAAAGTTTTTATTTTTCAAAGTTTACTCCTACGAACCGGATGATTGAAGAAAGTGTCTTTAGTTTACAGATAAAGTTACATATATTTAAATCTTTTAATTGAAGATGATTTTTTGTTGTTGGATTGTATGGATTCTAAAGTGGCTGTCTGTTTACACTGAGTTGTGTCCGTGAATCTTTCTCCTGATAGAATACGTTTTAATTTATTTATTCTCTACACTTTCGTTACAGGTTACATTTTGTCCTAATAGATGGGAAATATTAAAGCATACAGAGCTTGTTACAGGGTGAAAACGGTGTTTATTAAAGGTTAATACGACAGATCAGCGATAGAATAACAACTCAGAGTAATTATGATTTTTTTTTGTTTATTTTTTAAACAATTGAGTTATTGTCTTTTACAGAAAGCTGTTAAATCTGTCCGACGCCATGTGTGAAGAATTCATGAAACTGTAGTACAAGGTTTGAATGTGGACAATAAAATGAATGAGGTTGCACGTTTTGAGTTTGTGTCTCTTTACTTCAATGAAAATACAATTATATCCAGAATGTAAAAACAGTGTGCTAATAAAACACGATAAAAGACTTCCAGGGGTGCAGGGGTTTAGTTTTGTCCGTATGAGGCTTTGAAGCGCTCGGCGATGTATCCTCCTCCCGTCACTGGAGGGTATTTGTTGGATCCGTCGCAGCAGCAGATCAGCGCCTCGTCGTCCGGCTGCACGAAGAAAGCCAGAGACTGTCGGGTGCTGAGGTCTCCAGGGGGCGGCAGCAACACTCTGTGCAGCTGAGGGGGGGGGAGGAGACAACACCAATTATAGGTTTTATTATTTTATATATATTTTTTAACTTTATTTCTTTTTGTTTCAAACAATAATACAGTACAATATATCTTTCAGTCACATTTTCAGTTTTTCCAGTTGTATCAATACAATCCTGAATAGGTTTCTAGTATTAGTCAACCAGTATCAGAGTACCACTCCAGGGCTAACAACAAGAAAAAATGTAATAAAGATGGCCTACCTTAGAAAATAAATAACAAATAATAATGATGGAAAGAGAATACAAGGGACATACAAATGTGTTAACAATTCTTACTGTATTAGATGCATTACAGGGACCCATCGCATGATAAATGTATTTTTCTGTAGGCGTAATAAATATGTTATTTGCTCGTGGCATTGTTTTTAAAATAGTTATACTTGAATAGGGATTTGGTAAAATACTATAAAGATACAAGTGGTCAAAGTCTGAACTGTTCAACAAAAAATAGTTATGGAGGTAGAAAGTAGAAATACTCAAGTTAAAGGTGGGGTAGGTCATTTTGGAGAAACCAGCTCGAGTGCGCTAGAATTTGAAAATACACAGCCGGAAAAGATCTGCTACTTCCTTACAGAGCCCCTCCTCCAACACACACAAATGCGCACATGACCAATGAGGGCACGAGATAAGTTTGTGCACAGATGGAAGGCTGACAGGCAGGTAGGCCATCCAGTTATTTTAGCCGGGCCGGCTCAGATGATTGGTCGTGCTTTTTACAGTATTACGGCTTCCACAGATGACATTTCTTTATGGATTTTTTGTCAAAGCACTTAAGATATTCATTGCTATCGGGATGTTAAGAGCATTCCATGGAATATAACAACAAGTGTATCTCGAGCCGGTTTCTCAAACTTACCTACCCCACCTTTAAGTAAAAAGTACCTTGAATGTGAATACTTATTTCCCACGGTTAAATGCAAATACATTTTTATCTTTTATATAATGTCAATTTCTCGATTTTCTTTTTGATATTCTTACTCTCACTGTTTATATAAACCTACCATTACAATTACATACTTATTCTTACTCAGAATAAGAAAGACAAATAATACAAATCTGTCTCTCTACACACATCAGTTTAAACGTTACTGATGACAGCTGCATCTGATAAAAGTAAAGAAGGAAATAATCTCTTCTCAAAGTAACTGAAAATCAGTCTGGGATCAAATACTTATTTCCTCCACTGTCTATTTGAGTTGAGTAACTGAGTACATTTGATACATCCCATTATGTCTCCTGGTGTCCTATTTTTTATTATTATATAGTTGTAAAACAAATCCAAATCTTTTTTCCCCCCCCCGTTATGATATACAATATATTTTCTCCAAAGAGTTCCTCCTAACTCACCACAGAGACAAAGTGATCTCCGGTCCAGCGCTGCATCAGGTCGGCGATGTTCACCAGCACGGCTCCGGGGACGGCAGGAGCGCAGAGGAATTCTCCTGACCGCTGACGCACCTGAAGGTTAACAAGAGTGAGCTGGATTACATGCCTTCTTTTAAAGAGGACATATCATGTTCATTTTCAAGTTCATATGTGTATTTTGTTCCTCTACTGCGACATGTCTCCATGCTTTAAAGGTCACCTATCATGCTATTTAGGCAATAGCATAGGTCTCAGATATATAAAAATATATAAAAAACATGTCTATGAAGTGTTTTGCTCAAAATACCAAACAGATCACCCATTCTAGCCATGCCTCATATCCCTCTATTTCACTTCCTGTTTCAAAAGTGCTGATTTTGGGCAGCTACTGTCTAAACTAAATACTGCCTTGATGAAACGCCATATCATGGATTATCTAGGATTATTTCTGAGACAGTATGGAGCTCAAAGGCTTTCTCGCTTGCCGGTTATACCACAAGGTGAGTTCCTTTTTATTTCCTGCTTCTTCACACACATGCTCTCCAGTACAGGTTAGCTCTGAGTGTTAGCGATGCTAATGTAAACACTGACCATATTACGTCCAAAACAGTCGGGCATTGTTTCTGATAGCAACGTTTCTGATTGGGCCGTGGGTGTAAAGCCAGCCTACATGTAAAGCCAGCCTACATTTCAGATATTACATCATATCTGACGCAAAACTGGATCAGTTCCGTTTTTAGAGATTTGGGTACGGATTAAAAGAGAGAGGGTTTTATTTTCTGACGCTGCGTGAGTTCCCCGACACACGACACATATTTATGTATAAAAGACATCAAAAAGTGCATTTTGCATGATAGGTCCCCTTTAATGTTCAAAAGCACTTTATTTTTCTCATACTGCCTGTGCTGCAGCACCTCTTTTCACCCTCTGTCTGAAACCAGAGCCCAGTCTGCTCTGATTGGTTAGCTGGCCGGCTTAACACATCACGTACAATGTGTTGGAGCGCTAGCCAATAGAAGCGCGTGTGTTACAAAGTGATGTCACTATGTTAAGGAACTAAACAAAGGCATCCAATGGAGGCGTTTCAGGCACTTCTAATAGAAACCTATATAACACACTACAGGAGAGGGAAACCCCCAAAGAGCATAAAAGGGCCTCTTTAACAGAAACAAATGTAAATCTCAATTTAAGAGACAAAGAGGCAATTGTAATTTGTCATTTCTCTTGCATGCAGACAGGTGGAGCCGGTGTTACCTGCAGACCCACAGAGCTTTTGAACAGCAGGGTGATGGAGCCGTAGTCTGAATGTTCTCCACACCTCAGCTGACCCTCCTTCACCTCCTCATGCTTCACTGGAGGGTAGTACAGAGTCCGCAGAGTGGAACAATTCCCTTCCTCTGGAGGAGAAACAACAACAGTGTTCAAACCTGCCTGGTGCAGTCGTATCACAACAGTCAACATTGGGCCTTACACTCAGAGCTCTAATGTCAAGGTTTTATATTTCCCAGTGTCACACATCAATACACAGGTCGTTGGTAGTTATCGCAAGATTTTCCGCAAGATTTTTCAGTCTTTATTTGCTTTTTTGTTCATGGTTTATTCAAGTTGTTTTACATTACGAGGTTTTCCAACTCTGCAAGTCTATATGATGTCACATAAATACATCCTTGTGCATCTCATGACATCCACCAAGTGTCCAAAACAATATTGCACAACATAGATCTCATGTTCCGAATAACCCAGCTTCCCTCAAATTCCTTTTTGGTGTCTATCTACGCCGGGATCCTGAGTCGGGGCTGATCCTGTTGCTGTGGTCCTGAGTCCTGGATCCTGAGTCCTGGATCCTGAGTCTTGCATCCTGAGTCCTGGATCCTGCATCCTGAGCCCTGGATCCTGAGTCGTGGCTGTGCCTGTTGCTGTGGTCCTGGATCCGAGTCCTGGATCCTGAGTCCTGGATCCTGAGTCCTGGATTTCGAGTCGTGGCTGAACCTGTCACTGTGGTCCTGCCTGACTCTCATCATACTGCTTCCCTGATGGCTCCCACAGGATTGTTGACATCCTCGTGGATTAATCTTCTTATTATAGACACATGCATTTCCAAACATTTGGTCTACCTATGTTGTATGTATTATCTTTTCGATTTACAAACGGCATCTATTGCACGTCTGTCCGTCCTGGGAGAGGGATCCCTCCTCTGTTGCTCTCCCTGAGGTTTCTCCCATGTTCCCCTTTAAACTGTGGGGTTTCTCTGGACGTTTTTCCTTGTACGATGTGAGGGTCTAAGGACAGAGGGTGTTGTATTGTCATACTGATATTCTGTACAAACTGTGAAGTCCACTGAGACAAATGTAACATTCGTGATATTGGGCTATATAAATAAACATTGATTGATTGATTGATCTAAACTAAGTAAAATGACATGCCAACCATAAACATAAATGGCTCCTAGCAGTTATATATCGGGCGTTTTGGGGAGTTGCATGCTCAGAAGACTCCATGCAAATAAACATAAAAGTGTTTACAGAGTTGCCACGCTGATCTATAACCATCGACTTCTTCAGCTTGAACCCCAGTAACAATATAACAGTCTTTAGTGAGAGCAGTGAGCGTACACACCTCCTATGAATCGATGCGCACTGAGGAACACCTCGGGGTCCAGACCCAGACTGAAAGCCATCACCTTCAGCACCCGCAGACTCAGCTCTTTGCAGCGCTGGAAGAAAGACGTCTGGATCTCCCTGAAGCCTTTCGCAGCTCCTGATGGCCATTTCTGCAGCAGGAGAGAGTTCAATTAGAGCCTGACTGATGCTAGATTTCAGAGGCCAACACCCATACTGATATTTGTAAGTTAGAAAATCTATTTAGTGCAGTTTTGATAGAGAAATAAATATGAGTTGAGCAGGCCACTTAAGAAAGAAGCTACATATTTACAGGATTGTTTCTCTCCTTGTAGATTGTAAAGGTCCTGAATGGGTGAAAATGTACTCAAGTCTGCTCTCTTCTGAACATGCAATAGGAAAACTGTCTACATTATTTAAAACATATGGCATTTTTGTTCCTGTTTCCCTTCTGCCGATTCTGATATAAAGTTTTCTTGATAACTGAATATTGGGTTATATTATTGGAAGATATTTATTTTTATCTGGCAGCAATAAAACAAACCTTTTTCTTGTTAATCAAACATGTATAAAAGCAAACATATACTTTGACCTCCAGACGAATAGATCACAAAGGGGGATCTTATCTGGGTTAGTGATCATAAAAATGGTCCTGATGTAATCTTTGAAAAATATTAATATTTGACAGTAAGTCGTTACAATGTCAGGCTGAAGTGAAGTAATGTTGAATGCTTCCTTTAGGTCTCCAGGGCGGCTTGGATTCAACCTGAAAAACAGTTTTTTTTAAATGTAAAACAATCAAACTGTGCAGTTAAGAAAGTGTGTTGCTTAATTTCCTGATTCCTACCTCTCAATCCCAAAGGACACCCAGCCGTGGTTAGGACTTCCAGCAAAGCTTTTCCTGCTGAAGGGTTGTTTCTCCTCATCTGGCTGCAGGAAGAACGTCTTGGATATGGCCATAACACGATCCACCTATCCAAACACACCCGCAGAAAATACATATCCCTCTTTTTGTACAAATGCATTTCCATTTTAGGGAATGCAATATGCAGATAATGTACTTTTCACTCAACAAAAGACACCTTATGTTACTTTGCAAATAAAAATGTCCAGTGAAAACCACTCTTCAAATATGGTCATTTTGATCTGAAGTGTTTTTATAAACTCGATGCAGGATGATGATCCTTTAAACTAAATTAATTCCCCCAAAAATAAGCCATTTAAAAACCTAATTAGATCACTTGGAATATGCATTATCCCAAAGTTAATTAATATAATATGATGGATTGCTGTAGACTTCATTATCCAATAGTAGGCCCATGTCAAGTATTTCAATAAGCACAACATTAATCATCTGCAGCAGTGAAATGCAACAAACACATTAATGCAGCGGTGAAATTGTGATTTCTCCATTAATCCAGAACAATTTATTTAACAGTAAAACACTAACAGGGAACATTTTTTCTCATTGACTAGTTTGACTTTTGAAACTTTGAGTACATTTACTGTAAACTAAAGCAGTGTTCGTAGAAGTTGGAAGTAGAAGATAAAGTAAATGTTGTTCATGTTTCAAAAGCAAAAGTACTCCTAATGCAGAATGGATATTTGTTGCAGTATTATATTATCAAGGTTATTATTTGTATCCTGTTTTTATACATGTAAGAGCATTTAAGTACTGTAGTTGGTGAACTTGGACCACATTTAGATTCTAGAAATACTGTGTAGATTAGTATTACAGTGCTGCATTATACCATATCAGCATATCATGTGTTTTTATACACATTTGGCTGTGAAATGTACCCGAATAGAAGTAGCATTAAATGAAAAGTTAAGTACAAACATGCCAAAAAGTAGTAGTAGTAGTAGGCTATAACACTTGAGTAAATGTACTTAGTTACTTGCCACCACTGTACTTATGTAAGGTTTTGTATGCAGTGTGGTAGTACTTCCTTGAATACATTTCCAACACAGCAACAAGCTAAACAAACATAAGTTGTTGTTCCTCTCACCTCCTCCTGAGTGATCCCAGTGTTCTTCAGGAAGACAAACCCCACTTCAGTGAAAGCTGTTTCCAGATCTTTGCTCAAACTGATCATCTGCTCCTCACTAACATCCTTCTCTCTCAGGCTGCACGCGCCGAAGTCCACCACAGGAATGCTCATCTTAAAAACAACGTGTATCTAAAAGGATTTAGTATTTGCAGCCAGGTCAGGATAAAACAACACAGCGACTAATGCACTCGTTTAAAAAAGTTCCTGCAGTGGCTGCCATCTCGCTGTCATGTGACCTTTTCCAGCCAATAGGAAACGAGTTCTTAATCACATGCAATTCGTTTGTCACCTTTGGAAGCTGTTCGCCGGTGATTTTGACCTGGCATCAGGCCCAAATTGATCTCCATTATTTTACTTTTCAACAGGTTGAGATTTGTACTAGTTTGGTGGGTTTGCAGCCAACAGTCTCAGCTCTTGTTGCACCTGAGAACTTAGATGTTGGATCTGAAGGAAGACTGGAGCATCTCTTTTGCAGGATGCGGTTTTATGGGGATGTATTATGTTGGAGCCAGCTGCTGTCTGATGGAACATTACCCTGGGTTCATACAGGACTCCTCTCAGATCTGTGGAGCCTCTGCAGGGGCTCTGATGGCGGCTGTTCTCGCGATCGGATCCCCAATAGGTGAGCAGGGCCCCGTCAGTCTCCACAGACCAAAGCCCACTCAAAAAAGTGTCATTTTAACGTTACTTTGGTAATTAGCAAACCTCCTGGGTTAAATGAAACACATTTGAAGATGCAATTGACATCATTACATGTCGTTATAACATTTGGCATAAATACAATGCACAAAAAAGCATTATACATTTACAGATCCCACATTTCCTCCTTTGCTATTCCTCTTTGTGTGATTTAAACACACACTCTTCTTACCTTCCTACCTTGGGTTTCCAGGTGATTTCTCTGTCTCTTCAAGGAAACATTACCTATGTCAGATTTTATAATAACACATCACTGTTTTAACCACAGTGGGTGAGTCTCTTCATGGACACACCAGAGCTGCTGGTCTGTGTATTTGATGCTGCTTGGATACCTACAAAGTTCATCTTATTAGGACAGAGCAGTACACGTATATCATTATAATATTGTATGTCTTGATAATATAGAACAGTGTCTTTGTTCATGTAAATGCCTTGAGGAATCTGTCAGTAAAAAGTATTGTTGAGAATAGAAAGAAGTACCTGCCAAAGTAAGTGTTTTTTTAAGTAATGTTTTTCCCTTCTTTAAATTACTTGGTTAGGTCTTGATAAAATACATCTAAATCTGTAAGTAACCATTTTATCTAATAAAACAATATGCACTTTTTAAGTCTGTGAGCTTCTAAACAAATTCCTGCAAGATGAGATGAGAAAAGGGTGTAAGGGTGTAACCTTTTTCACCAGAACTGGAGGAGTGATTTCCTTTCCCGTCATATCTGATGTAACTGAGTTAATATATGTATCTTTTACCAGACCTTCCTCTTTTAATTTAAGATTCAAAAACAAAAATTCCATTTGTTTTTATTTTAAAGGTCACCTATTATGCCAAATCCACTTTTCCATGTCTTGTATACATCAACATGTGTCCCCTCTGTGTAAAGAGACTCTGAAAGTTTCAGGAAAAAAAATTCTCTCTCTTTTGGTCCTGATCCATTTATATAAAAACCTGTCTGAAAATGAGCTGATCAGATTTTGGCCACTTTATGATGTCATAACGATGTGTTGGCTTGTGTAACCATTAGCCAATAACCAACCAAGGTAACCCCCCCCCCCACCTTATCACCTGAATCTCCTCCTAGAGCACCATTGTGTTCTTTGTAACCAAATATCTCTCAGAGGGGCGTGGGGAGTGGCTCCTTATTTTCATCTAAAGTAACAGACAGAGAATCAGCACTTTTGAAACAGGGCTGAAACAGAGGGGATTATGGGATGCTGCAATGATCTGTTTGGTGTTTGGAGCCAAACACTTCAGAGACATGTTCTGTATATATCTGAGACCTATAATATATTGATGAAAGACAGTATCATAGGGGACCTTTAATGCTTAATCTACCTACCTACAGTACCTACCTCTGTTTTAGCTGGATGGGAAAATGGGCCCCATAACAACTTTACAAGGCCATACATAATATGTCACAAATGTATTAAAAAAACACAGCAACAAAAAATATCTAATAGGACACAGATCATGTTGGAAGTGAAAACATCACAGGGTTATAAATGTTTTATAGATTTCATTTATTGATTTGTGAATTCCTCAACTCATATTATGGTGCACCACTTTGTGTTCATTATTTGTCTCAAAGGCTCAGCCTGTGAAAAGCTTTTTCAAAGGAGCGCGATTCACAAATAATGATAATCTGTTGATGAACTCATGAAAACAGTTAGTTGCTTTACCAAACCTGTATCTGTGTTTCTCTCTGTGTGACATGTGAAACAAGTCCGAAGCAGTAAGGCGTAGGAATCCCTCAGAGTGAGAATCTCCCCCTTCCTCTTTTTCTTTCGTAACAAGGCCTGTACTCCCCCTGTGTTTCCCTACTGTTTTGTACAGTTCATTCCTTGTTATGAAGAGAGTTGTGGAAGCGGTGTCACATGTTAAGCAGTTGGCCTATTTACGGTCTTGGTATTGCAAAATGTGAAATCTGATCAGAGTAGGTTGGGCAACACTGACGCAGGGCAGATAAAGCACTAGTAGTGGAGATAAGATCATATTTACATCTCAGTGAGTATTGAAGGGAGTCCAAATAAACCTGCTGAACTCTGACAGAGGAAACATGATGAATGAATTGATGGGACCCTCAGAGAAGATGTTTGATTGGGACGAGGAGTGGAACATCTCCTTTGCAGGCTGTGGCTTCAGGAGTGTTTATTACCTGGGCGCTCTGAGCTGTTTCCTGCAGAACGTCCCACGCCTCGTCCACGGAGCCTCCAGGATCTGTGGAGCCTCGTCCGGCTGTCTGGTGGCTGCAGCTCTGACCGTGGGGATCCCCATCGGTGAGTTCCCTGCACCATGCACACTCAACATCACATGTGGGTTCATTTATCCACATATTTGATGTGTAAAGGTAGATCGTACTGTTGAGTGTTTTGTAAAAGCTTTTAACATGACATCAGAATCAGAATTCAGTTTATTGCCAAATTGGGGTTAACATACCAGAAACTTGCTTTGCTGTATGATAATTGATACATCAACACAGTAAGAACATGTTTTTTAAATAAAGAAATATAAAAACTGCAGTCAAAATGATTAAAAAGTAAAAAATGTGTACAAGAAGTATGGTAAAAATAATTCCAATGTATGATATCTGAATGAACAGTGCAGGTTCTTTTGTTTTTAAGTATTGCTCAGAAATGTGGGAAATAGTCACAGTCTCACAATGATCAACTAATGCTTTGAGTTCACAGTTTATTTCCTATTACACTATTCTATTTTTTCCTCTTTTTATATATCTAAATCTTACTTTATTATTGTATATGCATATCCATATATTTATTGTATTTATCTGTAAAGTCCATTGACACTGACACTGTTCTGAATTTTTGTAGGACTTCTATTTACTTTTACATTTCACCTTATACGTACGTCATATATTGAGTTATTTGTTATCCCTCTATTGACATTGTGGTAGTATGGATCGAGTAAATAGATAATGATCATATTGAAGAACAAATAAAAGCTGTATGTTTTAAATCACATGTGTCAAACTCAAGGCCCGGGGGCCAAATCAGGCCCGTGGTGGATTTCATTTCGGCCCGCAGGATAATTTCTAATTACTATTAGATCTGGCCCTCCGGTATATTGCACGCACACCTTCACTCAATCCTGAGGGTCTCCTCAGCTCAGAGCCTGACCCCAAACATTGATGAACTTGCCCCCAAGATGAGATGCCAAGTATCTGGCTTGAACTAGCATCACAGAGCAGCACACTGAGTTTACATGGATGTTTCCTTCTGCACTTTCTTTCTTGAGACAACAGGGCATGTTTGGTTTTTTCTTTGAGGGAAATAGTTCTTTTGAAGCTGTTGTTGGCCTGTGGAAAAATGTAATCATAAGAAATGAATCCGGAAAAGCTGCAGATAGAGCCATAAGAAATGAATGCAACTGATTATTTAATGTTTAATGTTGTTTTTATAGGCAATAATTTAAGCTTTGTTAGTTCCAGGTTTAATATGTGCAATAAGTTCATTTCAATACGTTTTGCAATAAACATTGAACCAGTCCGGCCCTCGACTAGTACCGATTTTTTTATTTTGGCCCACTGTGTATTTGAGTTTGACACACCTGTTTTAAATAAACTGAATTAAAGTAATTTGATTGGATGTTTGTTTTGCAATACACTATGTATGTAGGACCTGTTTACCTCACTGGCCTGAACCCAGCCATAGTTCAGATGTTATCTGAGGAGTTCTCTGTTATTGAGCCTGTCGCTTCCCTCTCACACACTGAGTTCATGCCACAGTGAGAGCAAACTCCAGAGGCAAGAGGCCAAGCGGGACGACACCTGTCACTCACTCACAAACACACAGGCCATACAAAACAAAAACGCAATAACAAAATAATTAAATAATTCCATGTAACAACCTTAAATTGTAAGTAGACATAATAAAAAAAACTGAAAAAACATTAAAGAATCAAAGAGTATTGAGTTGTTGGCAATGGAAATGTTTATTCCCAGGCTCAATAAAAGATCATGAAAATGCATGAACAAGTTAACAATCTAATTGTAAAGTAAAAACAAAAATAAATAACATTGAGATAAGAAACAAAATATTTCAAAAAAGCCTACATTACCCAGAATGCATTTATACAAGAGGTTAACTTTTCTTTATTCATTAAGGAACATCTTCAGGAAGAATCACACAAAAAATAATGAAATCAATATATGAATAGTATATTTGATTGAAGTTTAGTGTAGTAGTACACATTGTGTCTCCGATAAATATTTGTAATATATTTTATCATTTATTGCCCTTATTTTACTAACTTCTTCTGTTTAGTTATATATAAATATCTAAATGAAGCAACTATCACAAAGCCCAATTTCCCCCAGGATAAATAAACTGATCTAATTCTGATTGATTCTGATATAGCTTTTACCCTTAATAATTCTGACTCTAAATGCACCTGTTAATTCATCTCCATCTCCAAAGACTGATTTTCCTACATGTTCCTCCTCAGAGCAGTTCTGCGCTGACGTCCTGTCCGTGGCGAGGGAAGCCAGGAGACACACGCTGGGAGTTTTCCACCCGAGCTTCAGCCTGCTGCGGACCGTGAGAGCCTCTCTGCTGGAGAAGCTCCCGGCTGACGCTCACCTGAAGGCGTCAGGGCGGCTCTGCGTCTCCCTCACCAGACTGACTGATGGGAGGAACGTCCTGGTGTCAGAGTTCAACAGCAGAGAGGAACTCATTCAGGTGCAATGGAGAGCTCGGTTAGAAAGATATGGATGCATCTGAGCTTGACGGATCAATAAATCAAAAACAAAACATTGCTAAAACCCAAACAACGTCTATTCTACTTGCTCCACTGTGATTGCAGTAGGATGCTATTATTGTGTAAAGAGATGTTGGTAGCATACTGTTTGACAGGGAAGTTATTGAATATTTTTGAAGTATCTCTGCGGTCTTGTCTCTTGTTTTGATGAAATAAGGTTGAAGCTCAATCGTTGTCGACCTTACTACTGCTGAGACGTCTTTTTTTTAAGCAACATTTTGTTTATAAGTTGTTGATCTGTCAAGTTTGAATCTGTCAATATCTTGCTAACTGTACCGAAGTGATTCGAAAACTAAGAGAAGGACATAAGATAAAATAAGATAATACTTCATTGTCAAATGAAGTCTGAAATTGTTCTTGCATCAGCAGATCCACTTGCAAGAAAATATTTAAGATAACAAACAAGGGAACAGATATTAAACATGACATTAAAATCAGACAATATTTTCAAGACTCTTCAACAAACACTTGATTTGGGATTTAACATTTTATTTTAGGAATGGCTGTTGCACCAAAGAGGGTTTCAGTCGAATCTTATCAAATTGTGGGCCCCTGTATCTCAGCTTTTAAGCTAAAACATAATATCTTCTGGACATGGTTGGTGTTCGTTATAGTGTAAAGGTTTTTTTCACAGCATCTGTTCTGGAAGTATCTCAGTAAATGCCAGGAGCTGAGAGTCTGATTTTCTTTCCTAAATTGTACCTTTACAGGTTCTGATGTGCAGCTGCTTCTTCCCTGTTTACTGTGGCTTCACCCCCCCTTCATACCGTGGAGTGGTGAGTACGGCATGGCCAACTAAAGTTCATGTAAGAGGATTAGAGGGAAAATGTTATTCAATATGGTTTAGCTGTGTACGGTTTTACTTTTCAATCCTGTAAATAGGTGCTTTAAGAAAAAATCTGATTAGCGTTTTCTGGAACACACTCACATGTGCAAGGAAAAGATGAAAAAGAATAACTTAAATTATGAATAAAACAGTTTTCTTGACAAAAAGTTTCACACATTACATACACAAATACAATTGGTATAACACACATTCACCCCAAACTATGCAACTAAAAACAACCAACATACAGTAGATCAGTCGATTATATTTTCTTTACTGACAATAGGAACATTGCTGTTATTTTTCTCTCAACTGAAACTTATCTAAAAGTTATACATCTTTGAACTTTGCACGGAGCATTTTGGGTAATGTAGGAAATCAGCAATTACACAGGCAGAAGGGAAAGCACGACAAAAAGTGAATGATATGCTTAAACTGTATGTCACGATAATTCGTTGAATGCACTAAACAAATATGTCATTACTAAATAACACAACACATGTATGTTATGTAAAGACATAGGTACAGTCCATGCCATAAATACTTGCATCCAGCAGAGTTCATTCAGTCATTTCTTCCCTCAGTACTACATGGACGGCGCCCTGAGCAACAACATGCCTCTGTTCGAGCAGAGGAACACCATCACTGTGGCTCCGTTCTCCGGAGAGAGCGACATCTGCCCCAGAGACGGCAGCTTCAACTTCATCGAGGTGCACTACGGCAACGTGAGCATCCACGTGAACTCTGGGAACGTGCACCGCATCTGGACCTCCTTCCTGCCCCCCAGCATGGAGGTGGGTGCTTTGTTTGTGTAACTGACATTTTTAACAGCAGAGAAGATTCTCTATTTCTTTCTGTCATACCAAGAAAAGTTATGTATTCTACGGTGGCCCTGAAGGTCAAAACACTACAAGATTTCCCAAAACACTGTATTTTTATGGTGTTTTTAAAATGTGAGTGTGTGTGTGTTTAAAAGTGTCCATGCAAATATTGTGTTTTGTGAAATGTATTGGTGTGTTGTGAAATTGGGTACTGTTTTTTAAAAAGCTTAAAGGTGGGGTAGGTAAGTTTGAGAAACCGGCTTGAGATACACTTTTTGTTATATTCCATGGAATGCTCTTAACATCCCGATAGCAATGAATATCTTAAGTGCTTTGACAAAAAATCCATAAAAAAACGTCATCTGTGGAAGCCGTGGTACTGTAAAAAGCACGACCAATCATCTGAGCCGGCCTGGCTAAAATAACTGGATGGCCTACCTGTCTGTCAGCCTTCCATCTGTGCACAAACTTATCTCGTGCCCTCATTGGTCATGTGCGCGTTCGTGTGTGTTGGAGGAGGGGCTCTGTAAGGAAGTGGCAGATTTTTTCCGGCTGTGTATTTTCAAATTCTAGCGATCTCGAGCCGGTTTCTCAAATTGACCTACCCCACCTTTAAAATGTTTTTAAAAAGTGTTATTTTTATTTTTTGTGTGAAATATTTTAGTGTTTTTTCTAATGCTTTAGTGTGTTGTGAAATGTTGTGTTATGTGTTTAGAGTTTTGTGAAATGTTTTTGTTATTTTCTAAATGCCATTGCACCCTTCAGAGCTACCGTAGTCTTCATTTAAAAAGATAAATGATTCTCTGAAATATATAAGAAGCTCTTCATGATATTTTTTGGTTCTTCACAGGATCTGGCTGAGATCTGCCAAAGCGGCTACATGGATGCTCTTCAATTCCTGAGAGAGAGAGGTGAGCTGCTCCACCTTCCAGAAAGAAATGTCCCTGTTCTTCATCCTGCTTATACCTGAGTCTCTGAATCACAACATTTAAACACAAACTAAAATGTGCTGTTATTAGTTTCCTGTGTGTTACAGATCTGCTGGGAACACAGAGTCTTTGTCCCGGATTGATTGTGGAAATGGACTCAGTGAACCCTGCTTGTTGTGAGCTTGTGAAAAAAAGAGGGTCAGAGGAGTTACGGCTGAACGGACTGAACTCTGATGAGGAAGAGGATCTGTGTCTGGGCCTGAAAGTAGAGAAGCTCCCTGCTGGCATCAAGAAAGGTGAGGAAGAGTAGAGAGAAGGAACAAATGTCTGTCAAAGTTGGTCAAAGAAAGGGTTAAGTTGGCATCAATAACGGGAAGACGGTACAATAAGGTTGTGTTAGTTTGTTTAGGAAAGGATGCAAAAAAGTTAATAGTAAACAATAATTACCATTACATGGACCTGGGATTACAAAGCTGGAGGTTTCAAATGGTAAATGTTAAAGTGGACCTATTATGCTATATTGGGAACATATATTGTAGGGCCATACCTATACAAAACATGTCGGTGAAGTTTTTTGCTTAAAATACAAAACAGATCCCCCATTGTAGCCATGCCTCATACTGCTCATACCCCTCTATTGCAGCCCTGTTAGAGAAACGCAGATTTTGGGTCCTTAGTTTAAAAAATAAAAAAAAGAGGAGGCGGAGCTAATGCCTGATCAGAATTCTACCGGAGATAAAGTTAAATTCTGCTGTGATAAAACGCCATCCTGTTCTAAACCACATCAAGGATTATTTCTGAAACAGTATGGAGCTCAAATGCTTTTTCTCTTGCGGGTTTATCACAAGGTGAGTTCCTTTTTTTATTTCCACACATGTGCTCTCCAGCACAGGTTAGCTCTGAGTGTTAGCGAGGCTTGCTAATGTAAACAAAGACGAGATTACGTCCAAAACACGTCAGGCATTGTTTCTGATAGCAACTTTCTGTGGGTCCGCCGCCGATATGACGTCAAATCGGCAGCAAATCTGTATCCGCTCGTTGTACCCCCGTTTTTAAAAGATTTGGGTACGGAGGAAAAGAGAGGGTTTTATTTTCTGACGCTGCGTGAGTTCCCCGACGCACCGGGGACACATATTTATGTATAAAAGACATAAAAAAGAAGTGCATTTTGCATGATAGGTCCCCTTTAATGTAGATCTTGCATGAAAATTAAATAACTTTACCAAATAAAAGACACAAAAAAATAGATCACACCCAGAAAAAAGTGATGCACAGAAAAGTTAAGATTTTACATTTGCACCTTACGTAGTTTTCTATTGGTTGAAAAAAGGGCATTTTATAAATTATAAATAACTTAATTGACTTCTTCTGAGGAATGCATCTACCATAATTAATAATATACTGACTCTATTTGTTGTGTGTGTGTCTGTTAGTTCTGTGTGAGGCGCTCAGGGACAGTCGTGGTGGGGACTCTCGAGGGTCTCAGCTCACAGAGTTTCTCCCGGTGAAAATGGTTTTATACCTGCTGTCTCTCCTCATGCTGCCCTTTGAGATGGCCTTCTCTCTCAGCAAAAGGTAACGTGGTTTTATCCCACACTCCAACAGTCACTAAATATCTGTCTCTGCAGTGAGAAATGCATTTTTTTCGGATAACAATTAGTAGTTATTAGTTTTAGTTACTTATTTAGTTATACTCATGGTTGGTCTTTTATGTGACAGCTTGATATCATCACTGTTGACCTTGACTGGAGATCTGTTCAGGAACACGTGGAGCAGTGGAGGCGAGGACAGGTGTGTTCACATCTAATTTTAAAGTGTTTTAACCCTGGGTTTATTAAATCAGGATTTTAATAACTTTAAGATCCAACTTAAAGCACTTGTCAAGCTTTTTCAAGGTGCATTTTCAAGCTTTTCCAGCAAAGGACAGTTTTCATATTATGAAATACCTACTCTATTCACAGTATACTCATTATTTCACCTAGTTTATTGTGCCATAAACTACCAAGATATTAGACGTTCTGCGAAAAGGTTTCATGTCTCACCTGTCTTCAAGTAGACTTGGCTTCTGTATAACCTGGCTTGGCCAATATTTTAAACATGATACATCATTAAAAATCCCTTATTCATTAAAGTATAAATTAGATATTGTAAGGTAGTTATTCAATATGTCTTTGCCAAACGAATAGCACAGATAGTTATTGTAAGCACTCTCATTTTTGTGTCTGTTTTCTCCTCTTTCTCTCCTCCAGTGCATTTCCAGAGCGTTACGCCTTTAACTCAGACCTCAGGAGCAGAACAGGAGAAAACAATAAACCTTTTAGCTCAACAAAGACTACAAACTGCAACAAAACTCTTCATTGGGACACCAATGGAAACCTGGAAGTCTTCCCCCTCCCCTCCCCCTGCTCGGGTCCCACCAGCTTCCCCTCATTTAGCACACCTGCATATACTAAAGTGTCTTTACCACAGAAGGTAGCGGACACTTCCTCAGCCATTAACCACGCACAAAAAGACATTACCATTAATAATGTGAACGCTTTTATGAAAGGAATATATTTATATTGTATCAAGCAAAAAGTAGAGTAGCTAAATTGATATTTATTAAAACGTCTGTGTAGATTTTTGTAATCATGCTCAACAACCTTCTGAAATGGAGACCAAAAGCTTAAAGTGGACCTATCATGCTATATTTGAATAATATAGTGTAGGACCATACCTATATAAGGCATATTTATACTTTTTTTTTTCAAAATACTAAACAGATCATTATTTTAGCCATGCCTCATTTCGCTCAATTTGACATTTTTTAGATCTGTTTTAGCAAGGGCAGATTCTGTGAGAACAGCACCATCTACTGGCCTGGCATATGTACTACAGCGTCTCCAGCGCTTTCGAACGGCAATGCCGTGGCTGTCTCCTCCTGATTGGTGGAGTTGGCCCAATAGCCGTAGCGCCACCGTCCTGACGTCAGGACAGTGTTCAAATCTGGATCAGTTTTTAGCAGATCCATTGCAGCCCCTTTTTTAGAGATTTGGGTATGGAGGAAAATAGAGAGGGTTGTGTTTTCTGACACTTGGTGAGTTCCCTGGAACACCGGGGACACACATTCATGTATAAAAGACGTACAAAAGTGCATTTTGCATGATAGGTCTCCTTTAAAGGGACAGATCACCTCAAAATCAAGAATACATGTTTTTCTTCGAACCTGTAAATTACCTTTGTTAATCTAGATGGTGTGGTGTGAGTTATCGGCTGTAGCGATAGAATATATTGGAACTAGTTGGTGCTTAAAGTGTCAAAAAAAAGTGCATTTGAAAATCCTCTTTATAATAAGAGTGTGTAATTCATCACAATGTGTTCCCTTAATGTTCCTCAGAGCAAATTCTTTGTAGATGCTTTGACCATGGGTGTTTCTCAATGTCGAGGAAGGCTGCTCCAGAGCCACTATTTCAAGGATACTACGTCATTGAGTGCTGCCGAAGGACTGTTCCAATGTCCAGGATGCTTGGAATTCTACCGAGGCCGGCGTCCTTTGTTGCGGAAAATTTCGAGGCTGCACAGCGGTCTTAAAATCCCCACAATGCTTTGCGCACGGACCAATTTCCTAATCTTTGGCGGAGATCGCGCTCCATTTAAGGCGGGGCGTCGCATATGACGCACACCTGTTAGCCTCTTCCACAATTCTTCGTTTTCCGAGGCTAGGAAGGATTCTTGCCTCGCTTCTGAAGGAACTGACTCGGAGGGACTTGTCCTACCAAGGAAGCGTCCTCGACATTGAGAAACACCCCATGTATTAATTAAACCGCTCACATTAAGGTCTGTGGATAATCTTGAGTCACCATTTGACCAACTTGATTTTAGAGTTAACTGTCCCTTTAACACAAATGTTCATAATGATCAATAAGCACACCTTTTTGTTCAATGACCAGCCATTTGAGCATCTAGGATTATCGGCTCAATGAAGTCGTTTCACTGCCAAAGCAATATTAATGCCCTGGTTAAAAAAAAATGGTTATGGTGGCCATCACAGAAATGTTTTCATAGTACAATGTGAGTTTAACAGGGTGTAAACTTCTGCAATAATTTATTGTAATTCATCTAGTATGCTCAGTGGTCCAATGTTAAAACCGTGTTACTGTCAAGACCTGTTTCAGAATCTAATGGCGCTTTTCCACTGCAAGGCCTCGCTCGGCTTAGTACGGTATAGCTAAGCCTCGTTAGGCCTCGTTAGGCGAGGCTCACTTTATGCTGCGTTTCCATTACAGTTTAGGAACTGGGGCAGTAACTATAGTAACGCAGTGTAGGCGGAGCCGTGACGTCATCTTCAATGCGAAACACAAAACCAACATCAGCCGCGTTAGCTGTTAGCCCTCAGAGCACGCATTTTAAAAGGTTTTTCGCCTGCCGTCTTGTCAAAGCATTAATTCATGGTTTTTACTAACCGGTATCAGTATGTTGTTACTTCGGCATCATTTTGAAACGTGTATTACAATTAAATCACGGTAAAATATGTTCATTTTGTTGTAGTTGCCAGCGATTCTCTCACTAGTTTAGCATACTCAGCCCGGTTGTTGGCCCGGAAAGAACCTCGATTTTGGAGAGTCAGAAAAACTGTGAAAAAGTACCCGCTAGCCGGAACTACGCCTACTGGAAACGCAACCAAAAACGGGCCGGGCCGGGCACGGCACGGCACGGCACGCTTAAACGTAGTGGAAATGCGCCATAACACAACTTTGTTGAATGTAGTGTCTTTAATTGTTTGTTTTGTACGTCCAAGACATAAGATGTTCAATTAAATGATATAAAACAGAGACAAATCTCCTTATTTTAGAGGCGAGAAACAGCATTGGAAAACTCATTGTCAAAACAGTTATTTTTTCTAATGAAATGACTGGAAAAAGTGATCCAATAATATAGAAAAAGCCTCATCAAGACATTTAATGGACAAATGTTTCATAAAATTCCATGTGAATGACATTTTCATCAACATACAAAACAATCCTATAATTCCTAAAAGCAAAAGAATTTGGTGGTCAAAGATTAAAATATAACTGTAACATTATATTGAAAGGCTTGCCAGGAATCCCCTTCTGTTGAAAACATGTGTTTTTCTTTGAGTGATGCACTGTGGTCAGTTCATAGCACCATGAATTGAAACATTAATGCTAGCTAAATCCTCATTAAGGATCATAAATGCTCACACTGATAAATCAAGCTTTTAAAGTAACATGGTTGTTAATCTGCTGTCGAAACAGTAGACGTGAAGGTTCCTCTTACTGCATCACAGTGCAGTATGGTACAGTACGAAGGCAAAACAAACGCTTAATAACACGACCTTCTCCGAGGACAGTCATGCATCATTGTCAAGTCCCTGATTTCACATATTTAAAAAGACTGCCGTGAAGATGATCAAAAACAGGAATACAAGATCACAAACAAAATAAAAAGTGCAGAAAAGATATTCTGCAAGATCTCTAAAAAAAAAAGTCCATCTAAGTGTGTATACTCCACTCGGACACTAATGAAAGAAAAAACTGGAGAAATCAGTCTTTTCATTGTACGGCGGCGTCCTTTGGTCCCCCGCTGATGTCTGGGATCTGATCTGCGAAGGACTGAGTCATCCACTGTCCGTCAGGCAGCTGGCCCTCTGGGATCTGTGACGTGGTCGCCTCCTGCGCTCCTTCTGGACACACACACACACACACACACACACACACACACACACACACACACACACACACACACACACACACACACACACACACACACACACACACACACACACACACACACACACACCACACACACACACACACACACACACACACACACACACACACACACACACACACACACACTGAAGATCTGAGCTGAGGAATATCTGACACAACTGATAACCCGAGCAGCTCTCCTTTGGAATCGTGTTCCATTTCAGATCCGAAGCGATTTCCGTTTAAAAGCAATCTGAAAACCCATCTCTTCACATCTGTCTTCCTATCACCTAGTTTCCATCTACATTACTGCATCACTTCAGTCACATGCTTTTATCACATGGCAATACTTATGTTGTTGTATAATGTTTTTATAATTTTGATGCTATGACGTTTGTATTTTGTTTTTGTCTTTGCACAGCCCTTTGAGGCATTTCTTGTGATTTGGGGCTATAATACATTAGGATTTGATTTGATTATATATATATTACGCTTCTCCTGGTAGATCACGTCTATACCTAACAGCACTTGTAAAACTGGCAAGGATACAGTATCATCTTCAGTATTCTGAAACACTCCAGTAAGGCAAATCTTTCCCAACATGAAAAGTTGTGTTTTTTTCATTTGAAATAAATAATGATGCTTAAGTGCATCAAAGAAACCAGGTTTCAAGTAATATTATCTAGATTACTCAAGAGAAAGATATGGGAGACGTGCCGTTTTTGACCACGTTGAAATGTAAACACAGGGTATATGCAGGAATCCTGAAGTCAAATGTAATCCCTTTAAGACCTTTTTTAAGACCCTTTCCATACATTTTAAGACCTCATCGCCACTTGGAGTTTTAACCGGTTACCTTGGCGACACACTTTACCTCACATTTACTATATACAGTATTGATTGTCCTTCCTCCTTATCTTCCAACCATTTGGACGCAAACTTGCATTTCCCCATAACGATGTTGTTTAACAACCGGCGTAAACGGACCTTCACGCGCTATCAAGCAGTGAGCGTGCGATGTCCTGTTCAGATGACGTCAAATCCAACGGGATGCCATAAATAAACTACACAGAATCACACTACACACCTACGCAATGATTACATTCAGGCACACTGTAGAATACAACCTCTTTGGACAATTTATATACTTATTGAAAACAAGCTACAAAATGTAATACCTTGGAAAATGCCGTTTAATACTTTTTAATAGCCTTCATTTTCGCTACATTGATTGATCAACTTTTAATACTTTTTAAGACCCCGCGGACACCCTGTTACATACAATCAGTACAGACCATTGAATAATTTGTATGCATATATTTTGCTTTCCACTTCTAAATGACAAACATTACTTATAAATTGTCGAAACGCAAAACAAATATTTTTGATCAGACCATGTTGAAATGTGAAATATGAGGTAAAGAAATGTGGATTCTGTTAAAAGGTCTAGCTTCTGGTTTCATGTTCCTTTAATTCCCTACCCCAGAATCCTAAATATACAATTAACTTTTGCAAAAACAGCCGCGCATATACTCAAAAATCTTTAGGAATATTTACCTTAAAAGATTGTTGAAGTGTGCGTACATACAACATCATGCTGCACACTTCAATGGACATTTCATTTCAACAACTACAATTTATGTAATATAAGTGAAATATAGTGTGTGTGTGTGAGTGTGAGTGTGTGTGTGTGTGTGTGTGTGTGTGTGTTACCTGTGTTTTCTGCAGTGGAGAATGTGCAGTGACCGTTGGTCGGGGGTGGGACCGGTTCTCCGTCAGGTCCTTGCTCTCCGTACGCTCCTCCGTACGCATCCTCATAACCCGGGTCGTACTGCTCCTCCTTAATCGCCGCCTTCTTGGCGTCCTCTGTGGATGTAGAAAAAAAGAAGAGAAGAGTTCATGTCAAGCATGATCTATGACAATATCTGGTTTGCTTACTGCACATATTTAATATTTTATTGCATGCCATTTCAATGTAAATTACTGCTTTATTTTATCATTTTTTTTGTAATGTTATTATAGTGTTCTTAAAATAGTTCGCTATCTGTGTTTTCTTACATTTTTGTTTTACTTGTATGTATGCACCATGACACCAAGTCAGATCTAGAAATATAACCCAAATAAACCCGTTTCTGATTCTGATCTAAACTGGATCCAGAAATCAAACTAAAAGCAGGATTTTAATAATATGTTGAACTGAAACACACAAGGTGTCACGCCAAAGATGCTATGTCTTTAAATGACTATTAGCATTTATTGAAAAGAGTAAAAACAGAACTTCCCTACATTAGATATGTGAAAACTACTTTCAAATCGTTATAGATTTTAGTTTGTTTGTCACAATGCTGCTTTTGTAGTTTAAATGTAAGAAAAACTGTTTTTAAATGCAATGCAACTTAGTGATTAAATCCATGTTGAATGGCTTAAACAAAACACATCCATTCATCCACTGCTGTGCTTACCCTTGGCCAATTTCAGGTCGAATCTGTAATCAATCTCCTCGATCTCTTTGCTCTTTTGGAGACCCTTCAGCTCGTCTCTGAGCTCCCTCAGTTTGATGTAGAAGTGAACTTTGTCCTGAGCGCGAGGGAACTGAGCACAGCGAGCGCTGGACGAAGGCATCAGATACAGAGCCTGTGGAGGGAATCACCGTCAGATCAATACCACAGATCGAACAATGTCTATGGTGTGGTTAATGAAACTTATATTTTAAAAACAGACTTCATTTATGAGACTGATTCAACGTTTAAGTAGAAATAAATACTACAAAATATGCTGCATTTAAGAGTTTTGAGAATGTGTCCCTTTGTCAGTACAGATGCTGATTATCACGGGTATGTAGTACTCATCTGATGCAATCATTTTACTAAACAAATAACACTAAAAGTCTCAACAAAAAAATGTAGAAAATAAAATGTATTATGAGAGGGTGATTTGTTAAATGAAGCTAGCTTTCATCGATGTTTGAGGCTAATGATGCTCACCACTTCACAGTCGGGGATCTTGTGCGGCTGCAGACCAAAATCTAGTTTCTTTGGTTTTTTACCAAACATCTCCCTGCAGAACATTTCATAGATGCCTTGGGAGGAGAAAACAAAAACAGATAAATATGATTTATATTCACATTAACGAATGCTCGATTGTAAAAGTGTGCTCTGTTGAAGATAAGCGCTTACATTTTCCATTAAAAACAGCAATAAGAGGCTTGTATTTAATCAGCTTCTCTACGAGAATTTGGCCTCCTTCACGAAACTCTTTACTGTTGGGATGAAAAACAAAACATGGTTATAATACAGTGTTACGACACAACCCTGATCTCACAGCTCAGAGGAGTCTCAGCAGAGATGGCACAAGTACACACATCCTGTACTCAAGTAGAAGTACAGATACTCGTGTTTAAAAATACTCTGGTAAAAGTAGAAGTACTGACTAAACTTCTTAAGTAAAAGTAAAGAGGGCTTTGAAATGTACTTCAGTAAAAAGTACCCATAACTAGCAGCTGTTTTAAAGAGTACCTGACCTCCCTTTATATTAATAGAACAATAATGTCATTGTTAGCTAATGAATGTTTCCATGCTGAACAACGGCAACATGACAACGTTTTCATTGGTCCCTCTTCTTTAGAGAAGACCAGGAAATGATGGATACACGGATCGTGTTCAAATCAATAGGCACGCAATGACTCTAAATAATAATGATCACGCCACCAAACACACATTCAAACTAAAGTAACCAGCCTGTTTGGAAAATGTAAGAAGTAGAAAGTACAGGTATTTGTGTTCAACATGTAAGAAGTAGAAAGTACAGGTATTTGTGTTCAAAATGTAAGAAGTAGAAAGTACAGGTATTTGTGTTCAAAATGTAAGAAGTAGAAAGTACAGGTATTTGTGTTCAAAATGTAAGAAGTAGAAAGTACAGGTGTTTGTGTTCAACATGTAAGAAGTAGAAAGTACAGGTATTTGTGTTCAAAATGTAAGAAGTAGAAAGTACAGGTGTTTGTGTTCAACATGTAAGAAGTAGAAAGTACAGGTATTTGTGTTCAAAATGTAAGAAGTAGAAAGTACAGGTATTTGTGTTCAAAATGTAAGAAGTAGAAAGTACAGGTATTTGTGTTCAAAATGTAAGAAGTAGAAAGTACAGGTATTTGTGTTCAACATGTAAGAAGTAGAAAGTACAGGTATTTGTGTTCAAAATGTAAGAAGTAGAAAGTACAGGTATTTGTGTTCAAAATGTAAGAAGTAGAAAGTACAGGTATTTGTGTTCAAAATGTAAGAAGTAGAAAGTACAGGTATTTGTGTTCAAAATGTAAGAAGTAGAAAGTACAGGTATTTGTGTTCAAAATGTAAGAAGTAGAAAGTACAGGTATTTGTGTTCAACATGTAAGAAGTAGAAAGTACAGGTATTTGTGTTCAACATGTAAGAAGTAGAAAGTACAGGTGTTTGTGTTCAACATGTAAGAAGTAGAAAGTACAGGTGTTTGTGTTCAAAATGTAAGAAGTAGAAAGTACAGGTATTTGGGTTCAAAATGTAAGAAGTAGAAGTAAGAAGTCATCAGAAAAATAAGTAGTGGAGTAAAGTACTGATACCAGAAACATGTACTTAAGTACAGTAACGAAGTATTTGTACTCCAATACTTCCCACCTCTGAATCTCAGCCAGACTTCTTGTCCAACTTCAACAGATTGACTTAAATACAGATTTTATTGGGAAAAAAATCAATATATGATTGCATGATTATATGTCTAAAGGCCTACGTTGAGAGGTCTTTGCTGCCTGGCGTCGCCCTGGCAACCATGTTGGTGAAGCCCATTTTGTATTTGACAGGCAGGATGGTGTCGGACGTGTGGTTCAGAAGCTCCTTAGTGAATCCAGACAGAAACAGGCACTTCCCTGAAAAGCAAAACCATCAATCAGTCATTCATCTGTGTAGCAAACAAAGACAGATGTATTTGACTGGAGCTAATGGTGTCCCAAATGCTGCTTATCATGCATGCATAACATAGGAAGAGAGTTTCTCTTAATGACTGTGTTGAATTGGAGAAAAGATAGAGACGGGTGTCACAACATTCAACAGTCCATCACTCGGCTAACAAGTACAGTATGTGTTTTGGTGTTCGCAAATCTGTTTCATGGAGGCTGTGGCTCAGTGAATAGTGTGCTGGACTTCAAATCAGGGGGTAACAAGTTCGAGTCCCACTGCAGTCAGCATGTCGTTGTGTCCCTGGGCAAGACACTTCACCCCAAATTTTCCCTGTGGGGATTGTCCACAGTACTGAATGTATGCAAGTCGCTTTGGATAAAAGCGTCTAACAAATTACATGTAATGTAATGTATTCCAAAAATTAAGTTAAGGAGCGGTATTAAATAAAGAAGACATCTGGTGGCTCAAATTGGCTTTATCAAATTCAGATATAAATATGAAATTAAAAAATGCAGTATACCAAGGATAAGCAACAAACCAGCTAAAGTACCAAACAAATATGTTTCAAGCTGATACATGTTTTTAATTTGAACCTGTATAACCCAAGCCCCCAGGAAGGGCGCCGGACTCTGTGCCCAATATTCGTTGTGTCCAAACGGCGGTACTGCAATTTCCATATCAGTCCGTGACGTCACCCGGCCCAAAACAACTTTTTCCCATTAACATTGGGAAAGAGACATCTGTAAATCGGTGGATAATTTTTTTACTAAATAAACTACCCAGTATGAACTATGTTATAGCCCTTATTATAATCATTAGATCCTTAAAGTTGTAAAATGCACTAAAAGCCGAATCTAGATTTATTTTCTGTCTCCATTCATTCTACTGAGCCGAGAGTGGGAGCTCGGGGGGCGGGGCTTAAGGGGCGCATGCTCTGTGAGCGCACATACGGGTTCTTCTGCTCCGACAGCCAGGCATGATGGGTAATCTGTGACGTTTCGCTCTCTCAAAAGTTGGGCCATTTTGTCCTCATGCGCCAATGAGCAGCTCTCATAGGAAAGAAGGAGACCCCGCCTCCCACGCTGTATCCAGTTCTTATTATACATCCATGGTATCACCTCACTTGGAATCACTGGGTCTTGCAAAGATAGTAAAGAATCACACACTTGCCCTTCACACAAATTGTTTTAGATTTTAAATAAAGCTTTTCTGATTATTTTCGCAGACCATCACAGGAATTGGAAATCAAACACTTACAGAAATGATTTCCACCACCCGGGAACCACCGTCCAATGTAAGCTGCCATCAGTCCTGGATTAATACCGATCTGGAATGAAAAGCATTGCTCATTAAAAACCTTAATTTGCACGGTCTCTGGCTTTACTCGCAAAGATTTGAGCAGGGAATCTTACAATGACGTAGTCCAGGTTGTAATCCAGCAGGTCGGGGAGAGTTTTCGTCATGACTTCCTCCTCGGACATTCCCTTGAAGCGGTCGTGTTTCCTCTTCACCTTCTTGAAGCTCTCGTCGATCTTCTCTTGCTTTCCGTCTGCTGAAACCTCGGCTCCCTTCTTGGGCTTCGGGCCCGGTTTGGCTTTCGGTGCCTTTGGATCTTTAGGAGGCTTCGGTGGCTTTGGTTCCTTCGGTGCCTTGGGGACTTTGGGGGGTTTGGGGGCCTTGGGTTCCTTAGGTTGAGCTGCTCTGCCTCTTTTTTTGGGTGGGGCTACAGGAAAAGCTCAAATTAGTAAAAAAAAAGGACGAAATATCTAAACCCTCATCCACCCTCACAGACAGACTTTATCCAGCTTACTGTTCTAAATGACTCCATCTAATTTAGTTTTTGGACTGTCCTGACATATCAAACTTCCATGCAAACCATAAGACTATTACACATTATTTTAAGAAAGCCAAATACAACAAAGACTGCCAACTATGTGCAATATATATATATAGATATATATGCCGTTAAAAACGGTGCTAAATCCTCAGAACTGTTACAGGGTGTGTATTTTTGTAAAATGTTCTTTTCTGCTGTAACAATGTAAATGTCCTCTCTGTGGGACTAATAAAGATTCTGATTCTGATATATTTTAAAAGTCTGTCGCTTACTTACAAAAAGCTTTTCTTCATAAGCCCACTCGCGTATAGCATGCAGCATAACAAAGCTTTCATCAGATCTTATCATTTAGGAATAAATGTGCAGACCTCTTGTTGTCAACAATGAGTACCACTTCATTAAAACACTAAAAACTCTGGGCCTGACCCTAAAGCAGCAGATCTATACACAATGTTTAATGAGATTATAGTACGTTTTGCGATGCTTTCCGGCTCCTGCTCCTCCATCATGGGTTCTGGATACGCCATGTGAGCCATGGCTGCCTCTCCGTTCGGCCCCTCGGGGTAATGGGACTGCTGGTTGTGGTCGTAGCCTGAATATTGTGCCTGGTGTGCCTGGAGAGCCTGAAACTGCTGTGCAGACTGAACCCTGTGACAAAGATTACACAGAGGAAAGTATTGATACAAGAAGAGAAATAGCAGAGGGATGAGCTGCATGGTGACTCCTGAGCTGTAACGACACCATGTGCTTTTTTTGTTAGTTTTCTGGACTTGATTGACTTTAACACAGTGATAATTCAAAAACATGTTTTACATCTGTTGGTCCTGGGAGTGGGATTCCTACACCTTACAAAGCTTTATCTGTGTTATTTTAAAAAACATATACATAACACATTTTATTTCAATTCCTTATTTCTAGATTTATCTTGCATTTTCTCTTACTATATTTGATGTCAGGCAACAACACACCAAAGGATATTCCTTGTAAAAATATACTTGGTAATAAACAAGACACTGATTCTTCTGCACTTTCTTACAATTATTTAGAGCCAGTTAATACGTTAATTTAATAAGCCTTCAAACTTTATTTCATTTTAAGGAGATTTTATTACAGCTCTGTTGTATGAGTTTGTATTAGTTTTAAGCGAGATGAAACTTATAAATTGGACTGTATTGTATATAATTCAATAAGGAGTATATACAGATCCCACCACATGAAAACCCACAGTGTTAGTTCCCAGTCAACAATGGTTAGTTAATCAAAGAGAGCTTCACATCATATTCATAAAAAAAGATAGTTCCACAAAAAACAAGTTTCCCTTTGTTGTTCCTGAATGAAACCAAAGTATAAAACCATCGAGCAACAACACAAACAGTTATCACAACACAGTACATCATACTTCACGGTGCACAAACCACCTGTCATATCATGAAAACAATGGTAAAACAAAACAAAACAGAAAAAGGGGCGCACATGCTTTCATTTCATCTTCATCACTCTTTGCCATTCACAGGTTTTTAATCTTTGGCCACATTGTGGAGGAAGACTCACCACTGCTGAAGATACTCCGGGGACACAACAGGGAATCCATTCAGCTTGTCCTCCATCTTTTGGGTGGTTTGACTTAATTAAATAAATCAATATGCAAATTGAGGAAACATGGCTAGGTGATATTAAGCATACTGAGAGTCTGGCAGTGTATGAAACTGAATGCATGTGCAAGGGCTTTGTACACAAAACTGTGGAGTTAGCAACAAAGGATAAACCATAACATAAACCATAAAAACAAAAAGGATAACTTGACGGGGGTTTACACAATAAAATGAAGTTAAACGGTCTTATGAATGCCCTATTTTACAAGCAAAACAACAAATTATGCAACTACATATCCACACCTGCAGCTTCTACTATAGCTATGCTAACCAACAAGCTAACAGCGAATGAAACCCAGTTATCACATTTAAAAAGGTGTTAGCTAGCATAATTATGTATGAGTCTGTCGCCAACTAATTCCAATCATACATGATCAAATATATGTTATTGTAAAAAGGAAACGTGTAGCAGTGCCACAAGTGCAGCTAATGTTAGCCAACAGCTAGCTCTGAAGCTAACTTAGCATGGATGAATGGTTTCGCTTCCACTGAGATTCCTCGCAAAAGAAATTGAAAACAATTTAGCAGAATTTATAAACGTTGACGTACCTGTTGTGGGTAGGGTTTTATTTACTTTCTTCTGTACATGTAAGTGTTATTTTTCCATAAATGCCGCTCTTCTATTCACAACAGAGGCAACAAAGACATGACAGCCCTGCTGGTCAACTTTGACACCGGAAGAGCTCAAGTATGAGCCGTAGGTGTGTACGAAGGAACATATGTTTTACTTTCAAGTAAAATGACTATCAGTATATTTTAATACCATTAAATATTGTAAGATCCTGTATTATGAAGATGTTTGGATATGGTGTTTAAACTGAAAACAGCACAATACAATCAAAAACCAACCAACCAGTACACCCCTGTTTTAGCATTGGTATGAGCCGCAGGACTTTTAAACTCTCCGGTACTTGTTTTCTATTGGCTGAGAGTCTTTGCTGTTTAAAGAGCCAAGTGTTTTAAAATCTCTCTTAATCGTATAAATAGCGTAACTGAAATATAACATATATAGAGACAGAGAAAGCACAGAATAGTACAATGATATAAAAAATAAGAACTTAACGGAACTGGTAGGCAATGAAATCTCTTCCCTTTTTAAAAAAAAGACATTGTACCATATGGCACATTTCTTTGTTTACAATTGGCCTTTTTGGATGTGAAATTGACCAAGTAACAATATGTTACAATACAGTCTGATTAACTTTCATAGTATATTATATTATAGAATGCTATATTATAGTATATCATTTGATCGGTTTAAATGTTTGCTTGTCTGCAGCGTTGCACATAACAGCAGCGTATTTTAATAAGCAAGAAAATCCTCAAAATAACCAAAAGACTTCCAGCTAATTTCATGGTGTTTTGAAAATATGACTTTCTACTCAAGAATGGTCATCAACGATGCTTTCTAAAGGCTGTTGTGTGTTTTCTCACATTTCAGGTTACATATAAAATCATCACATTAACGCTTTGAACAATGAGACAATAAACAGACTATCTTTAGAAGAGATTTAATAACTCTGTAATTACAGGGTAGAAATTCCAGAGTACAATTACCTATTTATACAACTGATAAATCATAAAATGTCATTCTTTTAAAAATACAAAAATAAGTCACTGGACACACGTACCATACAAAATGCAATAAATAGTGATAAAAAATAACACCAAACACATGCACAGTCTGTTGGAGAGTTAGAAAATGTAACCGTGGTGGGCACTTTCTCCCTTGTGCGTTACATTGCGAGGCTTCAGGAAACTGTATGACTCTCCTTTTTCTCCGTGTGTCATCAGAGGGTTTCTCACTCTCACTGATGCATCATGCTACTAGTACAGCTGCTATCTGGTTTCTGGTGAGTGAGCCTCTTCAGCTGCAGTGCTCCCGTGTCATGTTGTCCGCAGACTGGCCTACAATGTCCTTTTTCTGCAAGATACCACAATACAAACCAAGGAGATGGACTGTGCTGCTTGCAGAAGGAATGGTTTGTCATTACCCAATACAATGGTAATACTTAAGCAATTTACTTAATCTCTAGAAACCACGCAAAACATAATTTATGGTGGCAATGTGTTACGTATTTTTTTGCACGTTACTGCAAATTGTGTAAAGGAACACTTTGGTATTTTTTTCAACCTGGACCCTAATTGACCCATGTTTTTGTCACAACTCTAGACTATGTTTCTTTGAATTGGTTCAGTATTGAGCAAGAATGCTGGCTTGTCCACTAGCTGCTTGTTTAGGCCACGGACAAGCTCAGATTTTGTATTAAAAGTGTCAACAACATAATAGAAAGGATCCCGTTTACCTTTCTGCTGATTTCACCTCTTATTTTATTTTATCATAGGACTTTCTGCCTGACAAACAGTTGTTGTCAGAGATTGTTTAATTGGAGTACAGTCAGTGTAGCTTAGAGTTTTCTTAAGGACCTTCAATGTTGTGGCTGGTTATTTAGCTGATTTTGTCAAGATGGATGCAAGACTTCTGAAAGAGAGTTCTCCCGGGGTTCACAGCCAGGATCCAGCAAAGAAAACATTGTATTTGTCTATTTCTGTGACACTTAAAATAACCACATGAGCCTGTAATTGATGAAAAACAAGCATGTTTTAGTTGACATAAACTGAAGGTGTGTAATTGCCCAATAGGATTACATAGCAGCCTGTCTAGTGGGTCAATACTGGACCAATTAAGAAAATGGGTGTCACTTAGACACAAAAACATGGGGCAATAAGGTACAAGTGGACAAATATCCCGTAGGTTTCCCAGTGGAGCTTTCGTGTAAACAAACAAAAACTATCTTTCGGTGTGAACAGAAATGTACCGTGTGCCTAAAATGTTGCCGGACTTCAAATCTATTTTTTCTCCGGGATGTTTGAGGTCATTGGTTCATGTTACTGTTCTATAAAAAAATCAACAGACCTTTAAATTGCTTCAGAAAGGTGATCAGTCACAGTGGTTTGGAGTCATTATTTACAGATGCAGTTGATGCACCTGTAACTAACCCTAACTCTGTTTAGTTCCAACTCGATGAACTGTAGTGAGAACCACACGGTCACTACACTACCTGTGTGCTACAGCAGACAGGCTGTTCTCCTCCTCTCTTCGCGCTCCTTTACTTGGAGGAGTCGCTGCTTTGCTTCTCGTCGCCGTCGTTGCTGCTTTGCTTCTCGTCGCCGGGTAGCGCATTAGAGCTTTCATACTCCGGATCCACCTGCTCCTCTTTGATTGATATCCTCTTTGCATCCTCTGCAGAACACAACAACCAAGAGTTAGTTCGTCGTATAAATATGTAAACAAACGCATAAATATGTCTGTGAAAATGACTGCTTTTGTTTCAATGTGGAGCTAATTTTGCCATATTTTAGCTATATTCATATAATATAAACGTGTCATTTATGTAAGACGTAAACAAGTGTCAAATAAATGTAGTAAAAATAATAATATTTCCCTCTGAGATGCATTGGTGTAGGAGTAGTAGAAAATGGAAACACTCATTGTATAGTAAATGATACTTAATGAATTAGAATACTGTATTTATCACGGGGCAAATACGGTTTTGTGACCTTTGCTCCGTTTAAGAAAAATAGAAAAAATATATCTAAAAAAATAAACATCTTTTTAAATAAAAGAAAATGAATAAGAAAAAAAACGTTAAAATTAAGTCAAATTTAAATATGTTTTTAAACACAATGAGTTAAAGTAAAATTGTGCACATTGAACTATAATAATACCAACTAATATCATTTAATATAAAGCAAACTGTCCTACTTATTTGACTTATTTTGTCTTTGATTCTTTATTATTGCATGCCTTTCATTCCTGCTATGCCTCTTTTTGCTGTAACACTGTACATTTCCCCGCTGTAGGACTAATACAGTACTTCTGATTGTGTTTACCTTTGGCTAGCTGCAGATCGAACAGGTACTCCGTCTCCTCCACCTCGCGCTTCGGGATCAGACCCTTCATCTCGTCCCGCAGCTCCTTCAGCTTGATGTAGAAATGAACCTTATCCTGCGCACGGGGGAACTGTGCACAGCGAGGGCTGGACGAGGGCATCAGGTAGCACACCTGGGGGAAGGGAATATGCTGTGAGGATTGCTGTTTGTGTTGTTAGTTATATATACATTTTTTGTAATATATTTTGTATTGACATTTGGCAGCAAACAATTACACAGTGTTTTTTTCAAGACATAGTAATTGTACATCTTAAAAGGTAGGGTAGGTAAGTTTGAGAAACCGGCTCGAGATCGCTAGAATTTGAAAATACACAACCGGAGAAAATCTGCCACTTACTTACAGAGCCCCTCCTCCAACACACACGAACGCGCACATGACCAATGAGGGCACGAGATAAGTTTGTGCACAGATGGAAGGCTGACAGGCAGGTAGGCCATCCAGTTATTTTAGCCGGGCCGGCTAAAATGATTGGTCGTACTTTTTACAGTATTACGGCTTCCACAGATGACATTGTTTTATGGATTTTGTGTCAAAGCACTTAAGATATTCATTGCTATCGGGATGTTAAGAGCATTCCATGGAATATAACATAATTGTCTGTCCGAAATGCCTTTTACTTTTTTTACACAAAGATAAAATAAAAACAGTAAAAAGTACGAACAAACCGAACATTAGGGAGTGATCAGGACTTCACAGTAAAATCATACGTTTGTCAAAATAAAATCTGGCCTATGAGGAAATCAGTCCACTTTCTCCATCGTGACGCAAATAGTTCCAGTTTGTGATTGACAGATGATGTTATCCTCTCCATTTTTTAAATGTCCATTGTAATATCCATCCATGCGTTTAAAGTTGGGCTATCTGGAGATAACCACTTCCTTGTAAGAGCTTTTTTACTCGCCACCAGCAACAGATTTAATAAATATTTGTCTTTTTTAGTCCATTCTCGAGGTATGAGTCCAAAAAACAAAGTCTTACTCTCCATGGGCACATGACATTTGAAAATATCTTGTAAGGCATTGTTGAGTGTATTTTAATCCAGATTCGGTTTCAACTTACTGTTTCAGTTTCTGGGATTTTGTAAGGCTGTAGACCGAAGTCGAGTTTCTTTGCCTTCACACCAAACGTTTCTTTGCAGAAGATTTCATAAATACCTGCCAAAATGAATACAAGTCAAAACACTGTTAAACTCAGCCAATGGCTTTATTATGAGCCATCTAAACACTTAGTCTCAAATGTTTTAATGAGTGTACCTTTTCCATTGAAAGCAGCTATTAATGGTCTGTATTTCTGCAGCTTGTCGAGTAACTGTCGACCTCCTTCACGAATCTCCTTACTGAAACAAAAAAACATAAAAATATAGTTTTTGTTTCTTTAAAAGGGACACAGGATTAGTTTACAAGGCTTTTTACACATTCCTTATTGGAGACGAACTTAAGGCCCTGACAAACCAAACTGACACCAAAGAACACGTCCAGACGGACCCGATTGTTGTGTCGCCTCACGTCTCCTGCGTCTTGGCCAAAAAGTCGCACTGGAACACACCGCAAAGACTTCAGCCGACGGCCAAGTAGCACGTACATGCGCATGCGTGAGGGGCAATACCTTAGCAGCAGGCGTCGGTAGTGTGTATTCGTCATTCAAAAGAGGCAACCGGAAGACAGACTGCGTGATACATACAAACAACAAATAGTGTCCGTTCCATTTTCACTCTCATCCATCACAGACTGTTTCACATAACGACTTATAATCGAAAACATGTTTAGTGCGGTAATGGAAAATGAAAAATAATAGCCGTCTGTGTGTTCCTTCTTCACTTCCGTTTCGCTTCTCATGCACTGATTCGCTAAGCTGAACAGCCAATCAGAGTGATTTATATTGCCGACAGCCTTTTGCCGACAGTCTCCCGACTCAACATGTTGAATCGGGAGCGGAAGGTGTCGGCACGGCCGAAAAGACACGACGGTGCTGGACACACCAATCTGAGTAGGGCGACAGGACGCTCATCGACGGCCAGACATCTATCGACGGCCGAAATCGGCCCGGTGTGTCCGGGCCTTTAGACTTAAAGGGGACCTATCATGCAAAATGCACTTTTTGTCTTTTATACATAGATATGTGTCCCCGGTGTGTCGGGGAACTCACGCAGCGTCAGAAAATAAAACCCTCTCTCTTTTCCTCCGTACCAAAATCTCTAAAAACGGGGCTACAACGGAGCTGATCCAGATTTGTATATATCTGAGACCCATAATACTGTATATGCCTAAAGTAACATAATCGGAGACCTTTAAGTCTAGTAAAAAAGCTATAAGTACTTATTGTATTTTCTGAAAGCGAAACTGTATTTCCATTGAGTTTAATTATTTGTATTGACCTGGAGAGGTCCTTGCTGCCGGGTGTGGTCCTCTCCACCATGTTGGTGAAGCCGATGCTGTATGTCTCCGGCAGGCTCTGGTCGTGCATGAAGTTGAGCTGCTCGTCAGTCAGACCAGAGAGAAACAGACATTTCCCTGGAGAGGAAAGAAGGAGATTTTAAAATGTCATGACTCATAAGGCAAATGGCTTTCGAGACACACATTTTGCACATGACTTTAGAAAAAGTGTGATAAAAATTATTCTCTGGGAATTTGAAAATCAGTGATCATCCCTGATTTCAGTACCCTCTAAACATTTTTTATCTGACATGGCAAAATGCTTTATTGATGCATTTGAAAAAAGTTATATTAACTGTTAAATGTTGATATTCCGGTTAAATTACCCAATTAAACAATTTTAACGGCTCTACACAAAACAAAAAGAACACAATTATATCAAATGTAATTGCAATGAACCATAATGCTTTGTGTATATCTGTATGTTTGGGGATCTGTACTGAACAAACAAACAGGGCAGAAGCTAATCAGTAAATAATTGAAGGAAATTGAATGTCAACATACAGAAATGGTTTCCTGGGTTTGGGTAATGGCGTCCTTTGTACGCCGACAGCAGTCCCGGGTTAATTCCAATCTGAGGAGAAACATGAAGGTGTTACCATGGCAACAGACAGAGAAAATGTACCGTTGTTTTGTGTCTGAAACCTTTTTTCTACATCTGGCGCCACTTAATCACTCACTCACTCTAACAAACAAACAAATACATTGCTATTGGGAATGATCTCCCTATCTCCAGTTAATAACTCACTATCAAGATGTCCAGGTTGTAGGTGATGACGTCCGGCAGGGTTTTGGTCATCACCTCCTCCACTGACATGCCGTTGAAGCGGTTCAGAGCCCGTTTGGCTTTTTTCGCTGCCTCGATCTCGTTCTCCTCCTCGGTCGTCTTTCCATCTTCTGTCTGCTGCTTCGGAGGCCGGCCGCGCTTCTTCTTCACCGGCGTCGCCACTGAAACAGAGTGTGACATTTATTAAGCAGCAGCGGCTGTAAAGACACTGCTACAGTTAATGAGTCTACTGAAACATTAGTTCAACAATTTCCTTTGGGATAAATAACGTCCTATCTTATCTTATCTAATCTGTTTAATTGTGTTGCACTGTTGGAGGAGCTTGTGACCTAAGATTGTCATTGTCATAACTACACTGTAGCTATGCACACATGACAATAGAATCTTGAATCCATCTCATAATCGTCTTATGTCTTTCTGTACTTTTTAGGCGATAGTAGACCAAAATTAGCATTACCAAAATGTGGCTGTTGAAATTCAGATATGAGTCCAAGACTATACCAACATGTCTGGAATGGTCTGCATTTTTATCGTTTTATCGTTATCGCCGTTTGAAGCTGAGCGTTCATTTGATTCACTTGTACTTTCAGTTTGCCTTTGTTTGACACAATCACTTAAAGGTCCCCTATTATACTGTCTTTCATCAATATATCACAGGTCTCAGATATATACCAACATGTCTCTGAAGTGTTTGGCTCCAAACACCAAACAGATCATTGCAGCATCCCATAATCCCCTCTGTTTCAGCCCTGTTTCAAAAGGGCTGATTCTCTGTCTGTTACTTTAGATGAAAATAAGGAGCCCCTCCCCAAGCCCCTCTGATGCGGCTTTCACACCAGCGCTTTTCCCTTTCTAGCTCCTAGCGAGAGCTTTTCTGGTTCAGCTCCGGTTTCCCTTTTCAGCTCCCGCTCTGTTCACACCGCCCAGAGCTGCCGCTGCTGCGTCATGACGTCACAGTTTACGTCGCTGATTTTCTCCCACAACAACAACGGGCCGGGGACTGCGTTGCTTTTAATCATACGAAGCCAGATTAAATTAAATAACGACTTCTCCAACCTTATACTTTTCTCCAGAGTGCCGTGGTTCATTGTTTATTAATGTGTTTCAGCGGCATTTACCGACCGCTGCAGTGCTGGCTGCACTTCAACGGGAGTGTATTCTCCCGTTAGCTCCGGGTTAGCTCACACGGCTCTAAAGTATTCACTGTCTGACTGTCACACAAGCAGCTGATACATATCCCCAGTTCCCCTTAAGTGAATGTGTGTCAGTCTGAATTGACGCTGTTTGGCATCACCACGCTGTTATGAAAGTTTCTCTGGTATAACATGGGTGATGTTAGCATAGCAACCGAAGCTAAACTGACTACTTGCTAAGCCGTTTTCTACAGGCACATTTTACCGGCGTATTTTTCATTATGATTCTACTTGTGATAGTCGGACATGACAACCTGTGCAGCCCATGTATTGATTCCATCCGATAGCTGCTATAATAACAAACAAAACGTCTGCCTGCTCTCCACAATGATCAATAACAGCGAACGGATGGTCAAAGTAAGGTTTCCTGCACGCCTCGACGTAAGCGACGCCGCGTCATAGCTCCGAAGCTCTTGCCTCTGGACCGACAATTTTTTGGAGCTGGAAGTGAACCGCATTCCGGAGCTATGACGCGCCGCCGCTGCGGTGTGAACAGGAAAAACCGGCGCTTTTCCAGCTCCAGCTCCGAGCAGGAGCTGGAAAAGCGCCGGTGTGAAAGGGGCATGAGAGATATTTGGTTGAAAAGAACACAATGGTGCTCTAGTACCCCTTTCACACCAACGGTGTTTCAGGGCCAGTTCGGTGCTGGTGCTTGAAAAGCACCGGGTTTTCCTGTTCACACCGCAGCGGAGCAGCGTCATAGCTCCGGAATCCGGTTCGTTTCGAGCACCAAAAAGTTGTCCGTCTAGAAGCAAGAACCGCATACGTCACGCTTACGTCGGAGGGGGGCGAGATTAACCTGAGCTAACACTTAAGGCGAGTACGGCAAATAAAAGTTGTAACAAGCAGTAGTGCTGAGCAAAGTGACTAGAACGCAACCACACACTTGTTAAAAAAAACACACTTTATAAAGTCAGGCAACACTAACCAGGCTTCGTGTGATTCTGTTTATTTGTACCTTACTTTGACCATCCGTTCGCTGTTATTGATCATTGTGGAGAGCAGGCAGACGTTTTGTTTGTTATTATAGCAGCTATCGGATGGAATCAATACATGGGCTGCACAGGTTGTCATGTCCGACTATCACAAGTAGAATCATAATGAAAAATACGTCGGTAAAAAGTGCCTGTAGAAAACTGCTTAGCAAGTAGTCAGTTTAGCTTCGGTTGCTATGCTAACATCACCCATGTTATACCAGAGAAACTTTCATAACAGCGTTGTGATGCCAAACAGCGTCAATTCAGACTGACACCAAACAGCGTCAATTCAGACTGACACACATTCACTTAAGGGGAACTGGGGATATGTATCAGCTGCTTGTGTGACAGTCAGACAGTGAATACTTTAGAGCCGTGTGAGCTAACCCGGAGCTAACGGGAGAATACACTCGTGGAAGAGCAGCCGGCCAGCACTGCAGCGGTCGGTAAATGCCGCTGAAACACATTAATAAACAATGAACCACGGCACTCTGGAGAAAAGTATAAGGTTGGAGAAGTCGTTATTTAATTTAATCTGGCTTCGTATGATTAAAAGCAACGCAGTCCCCGGCCCGTTGTTGTTGTGAGGTGAGCTCCGGCGTTGGGGAGAAACTCAGCGACGTAAACTGTGACGTCATGACGCAGCAGCGGCAGCACCAGTCGGGCTCTGAGCGGTGTGAAAAGAGCCGGCGCCAAACCGAAGAACCGGTTCTGAACCAGAAAAGCTCTAGCACGGAGCTTGAACCGGAGTTGCGTTGGTGTGAAAGGGGCAGGAGGAGATTCAGGTGATAAGGTGGAGTGGGTTACCTTGGTTGGTGATTGGCTAATGGTTACACAAGCCAAAAAATCGTTATGACATCATAAAGTGGCCAAAATCTGATCAGCTCATTTTCAGACAGGTTTTTATATAAATGGATCAGTAGAAAAAGAGAGAGAATCTTTTTTCCTGAAACTTTCAGAGTCTCTTTACACAGAGGGGACACATGTTGATGTAGAAGAGACATGAAAAAGTGGATTTTGCACAATATGTGACCTTTAAATGTGTGTGTGTTGGAGAATACCTTTGTAACCCCTCCCTACCTTGAGGTGGAGCAGCAGGCTGAGGTTGGAGCTGCACGCTGGGCTCCTGCTGCTGCTGCTGGGCTGTGTGTTGGTGCTGAGGGGGGTGCATGTGTCCAGGGTGCTGCTGCTGCTGCTGCTGCTGCTCCCTGAGGTTGGGCTGGTAGGTCAGCTCATGGTACTGATTCTGGGCCGGGGGGTTGTAGTTCTGGTAGAAAGGTTCCTGGTGAACAGGAGGATCCCGGTGGACGGACAGCTCCGCCATGACGGGCTCATCTCTGGGACCCTCTGTGTAGAAGCCCATGTTGTTATAGGGCATCACATACTGAGCCTCAGGGTGCTGCTGACTGGACTGGTACCTGGAAGAGAGAGGAGGCGTGAGAGAGGAAGAAGAAGGACGGTTAAAGAAAGAAGGAGGTGAGAAAAATAGGACCGGACACAGCAAGAAGGGACAGAGTGTTACTGGTGTTCGATGGCGTGCGGGAAGGAAAAGTAGGTGAGACAAACTTACAAGACACAATACTTACAAACAATCATGCTCGGATAACCACTTGTTTGTATTCTCTGCATTTCATTCACCGTAGAGTGTGTTAATCAAGCTCTAAATGTAATGATTTATGTGGTTTATTGGTTGATTTTGAGAAGGCAAGACACAAGATAAAAACTCATTGTCAAGATGATCCTGGCCTATTATCGAAACACGCGATACATCTTCCCAATGATCTTCAAAATATACTTTGAACTCTTAATATGGCACTATCAAATCACCTGACTTTACATTGTCCGAATAAACAAAATATCATGCATTACCTATCATTTTTTTTTTATCACTTTTAGTAAACATTCTTTTGAGTAAATGAAAACTAACAATCTTAAAAAACGGTAGTCAGAAATCATGAAAAGGCTACATTTTGCGAGTCTTTTCTTTCTTAAATTATCATTTCTGTATTTTTTTTAATCAAGATCTTTGTCTCACTTCTCTAGCGTGATAGTGATGAATGCTATTTCAAGTAACTCATCTGGGAGTATTTTCAGAATTATGCCGATATTGAAAACTCGTAATTTTGTCAGCTGTTTCAAGGATTCATTTTGAAGTAATTTATCATTCTTCAGATTATATAAAACAATTTTATCCAGTGAATTGCACTACAACAATTGCCATGTGTTTTGTTTTCATTAACTGACTAAATGTCAAGGTAATCTGACCCAAACCTGATATGATACATACCTGAATTATTACTCAGGGTTATATTGATTGAGTGTATTAGTCACGTTTTTGTTTAACACATTGTATTACACAGTTGTTAATATGTTTAATAATTCAACTGTCACTTCCTACAAGCCCACATATAAAGTACAAAGGTATGCATGATGTCGTCTGGTTCAAAATGCAGTTTATTTGTCTTCATCTCATGCATGAAAATGAAGAAACATGTCATTATTATCCTTAATAATGACACTGTCACTTGCTACAAGCCCACATGTAAAGTATACAGGTATGCATGATCAACATGCAGTGTATTTCTCTGAATCTCATGCATGCAAATGAGGAAACATGAGAAGTTTTCCATGACCTGCTGCCACCTCCACAACAACTCACCACTGCTGAAAATAATCCGTAGGAACCGTCAGTGATGTATACTGGTTTTCTTCCATCTTAACAGTTGACTTATTTCAACAAATGTACATTCATTCTGCTGCAAGGGCATCAATACACACTGGACATGTGGATTGTTTGAAGAGTATTGTTGTTATTGTAGCACATACGGTTCATTTCTGCACAAAGGAGACGGATGGACGGCTAACACAGGAAGAAGGAATCTGTGGCTAACAGGGAAGCTAACAACATTACGGAGTCCTACAGCTGCGGAAAAACAGGAACTAGCCTCTATGTTAATGAAAAATAAACGTTTAGGAGGAATCTAACATACCTGTTATACATTTTGTTCTTTAGTTTTCAAATAGGGAGACGGGGGGCTGGGAATCCTCCCAAAACAAAGACCATTTAAACTTCAACATTTCCTGTAGCCCAGAGGGAGGCGACGCTCAGCGCCACCTGTCGGCCAGGAGGGGAACTGCAGGGGCAAATACAAATAAATAAATAAAAAACATTATTTACGTCTATGTTATTACCAAATGTTTGAATTTAAATATAGATGTATCTATTAACTTTATATTCACTCAATCATTTTAATTATGTACAATTTTGGGGTACCTTAGTTTTGCTTAAATCCATTTTATGCTACTACATTTTAGAAGCTAGTATTGTACTTTTTATTCACCTACATTACTTATTTGCAGATTCAGATTATCATTTAGAATACTCGCTGTAATGATAACAATAATCTTCTATTAATAAACTATTTTGCAGTCATTTTTTGAACAGAAATTGGGAGAAAATGCGGTTCATAACCTATTGAATATGTAGATGTCATGCCTCTCTATTATAATAATAATAATAATAATAATAATAATAATAATATTATGCCACTGAACATCCTTAATTTTCGGGTTTTAAACTGACAACATATAGAAAAGAACATTTATGTATCAATAATTATAATCTAGTTATATCATATATTTTTGTATTATCCGAAAAAAGGGTCAGTTTGCAAAATGTGTACTTGTACATTTTTATGTTTTCCACTTCAGTACCGCTAGGAAATTGTGAACGGGGGGTTGGGTGTAGTGATTTGTCCGACCGGCCCACTTCGGTACCGGCCCATCGGGATTCGTCCCGAACGTCCCGATGGCCAGTCCGCCACTGTGCGTACCCTTCCAAAAGAAAAACTCTCCTTTTTGTTTTGGTACCAGCAATGAATGTCTGTCTCTGTAAAGGGTTAAATGCAATACAAAAATCATCATCAATCAATTTGAACATTTTTATCCAATGATTCTTAGAGGTGGAAGCAGCAGTTAATTGATCACATACTCACACGATCATACACTTATCATTAAGGACAGAAAGCAGCAGCGGAAAGTATTTAGTGCAGATCAAATCAACAATGTGTCACAGGCGGCACATTGTACAAGGCTAACAATGAAGGCATGTTGTGTGGAGTAAGGTATATATATACAATGATCATTTTAGGGTAAATACCTCCTTTAAAGTGCATAAAGCAAGCGGCGAGACAGGTATGGTTTCTCCTGACCTGCCTTCAACAGCCTCTCTCCTATCTTAAGTATTTAATATATGTGTTAGATATTTAGTGTACCAGCTTAAAAACATTTATAAGATACATTCATTCTATAATCCATTTGCAAAGCCACAACACATCAGTCAGAAAACAGATCTCTAGACCAATCACAGGCCTCGTTGTCATCAAGGGAGTCACAGTTAGATCGATCCAGACTCCCCTCATCAGTCTCACACCTTCTCTGTGATGTCAGATTTTGATCCAACAGAGTCCTTTTACAGTTCACCTTTTCTCCCTGCTGCCCCAAACCACCACTGCTGCTGTTCTCAGTCTGCAGTCTCCTCCTGAGCTTCACACTCAGCTGTGTTTCAGCAGCGGGACTCGGAGGAACAATCACTTCATTGTCCGACACATCACAATTACTATGATGCTGCTGAGCCAGTAGATGTTCTTTATGCTTTTCTGGTTTCCAAAACCTCCTTTTTGGGGTGAATCTGCTGCTCTGTCTGCTGGATGTCGTACTCCACTCCACGTTTTCTTTCGTGGACGTTCTGTCACACTGCAACAGCCGCTTAGACCGGTTTGATTTACACAGAGGAGAGGTGGTACTGGCTCTCTTTGTACTGCCCTTATCAGACTGATTTGGGTGAACAGCAAAAGGATCTTGACTGTCAGGACTGAATTCAGCTAATGACCCGGTCACAGCTGCTTTTACGATGGGGGTGGACTGACAGGGAGGGATGAAGTCAAACTCTATGGTGCCTGGAATTAAACTGTCTCTGTTATTGCACTTTTTAGTTTCAAGTGTATCTTTGTCTGGTGTTAAATGTGCATCCTTGTCACTGCTTAGGTGCTGTTGGTTTGGTTTGGATAGCAGTGGGCACGCTCCTGAAGTAGTACTTTTAGTTTCTGCACGTGTGTTGATCTGGTTTGTGTTATTTATAAGAGAACTGCCGAACAGGTCTGCCGAACAATTGTAGGAGTCCTCTTCAAGCTGCTCTTCTTCATTTTCAAAAGATAGAAGACTAGCTTTCAGATAACACTCAGGGGAACAAATGCTTCTGACTTGAATCTCGTTTGAATATCCAACAGGACTCTTATGTACCCGGTCAGATAAATCAACTCCACTCGGCGCAGGTGTATTTGTAATATCCAGAACCGCCTGTGAGTTCCTTTGACGAACAGAAGGTGACTCGTGTGATACGTTCTCGATCGGTGAACGGACTTCCAGGTTGCTTCTTTCTGTTTCTTTCAGATTCTGCACGTTTAAATGTGGCTTTGCTTCACTAACAATGTCCCAATCTTTGTTTTCCTTGTTTAAAAACTCCGTAAGACTCTCAGACAAAGGAAAATCCTCCCAAGCCAAGGAGCTGGACAGAAATGATTTGGTGAGATCTCCGGTAGAAATCTCCGTAGTCTTGGATCTGTTCAGGCCAGGGGGGGGAGGACTGAACCAAGTGTCTTTGACGGGGGTGTTTCCAACAGCTTTCTCAATGGATGAACAGGGGGATTTGGCGAATGATGGACTTTTGGAAGGAGTGCGCTCGCGACCTCTCTCCTCTGTGACTCTTCGGTTCCCCCAGCTGCCTCTCGGAGCAGGATGTGGTGTTGTGTTGTTGTATGTGTGTCGGCTGTTCTCCTCTCTGCCCTCCTGAGTGCTGCAGCTCTCCTCCTGCTCTGCTGATGAAGTAATTAGTCCTAGGGATTGTTGCCATGGAGGGGTTGGAGAAAGGGTGCTGTCTGGGTTCTGTGAACTAGGATGAAAACAATAGCAACTGTCAAGAAATGTCTTAAAAGTGAACAATGTATTCAGTCACACCACTTGACACTGAAAAATCTCTACTTTTGAATAAATAAATAACAAGATATAGACCAAGCCCCGAGGAAGTGCGCCGGACTCTGATGAAAATATTCGTTGTGTCCAAACGGCGGTACTAAAATGTCCGTATCAGTCCGTGACGTCACCCGGTCCAGAAATACTTTTTCCCATTGACTAACTTGGGGGAAAGAGACGTCTGTAAATCAGTGGATACTTTTTTTTAAACTAAATAAACTACCCAGTATGAACTATTGTATAGCCCGTATTATAATCATTAGGTCCTTAAAGTTGTAAAATGCACTAAAAGCCGAATCTAGATTTATTTTCTCTCTCCATTCATTCTAGTGAGCTGAGAGTGGGAGCTCGGGGGGCGGGGCTTAAGGGGTGCATGCTCTGTGAGCGCACATACAGGTTCTTCTGCTCTGACAGCCAGGCATGATGGGTAATCTGTGACGTTTCGCTCTCTCAAAAGTCGGGCCATTTTGTCCTCATGCGCCAATGAGCAGCTCTCATAGGAAAGAAGGAGACCCCGCCTCCCACGCTGTATCCAGTTCTTATTATACATCCATGGTATAGACAGATAAAGATTGTTCCAAATAATAAACATGGTGTACGTACAGACACATTGACCCCTCCATGATGAGACAGCCCTGCCGACTCCTGTTTTAACATATCTTTTTAATATTACTCAGACATTCTTACAAAACATGTTGGATTTTCCATTTCAGATAAATCCATCTCACTTATTTCTAATTATTTGGTATTAGTGTCTGGTCGCTACAGAATCAGAAACTGACAATTATCAGATAGATACTTTAGTTATCAGTTGCTTCTTAATGTCCTTACCTTTGAGAGGACTGGGATAAAAGACCTGAGACATTTAGTGTTGTGTTATTGAAGCTGCTTGGAAAATGTTCAGGGATCAGCAGCAGGGTCTGGGGTCCGGGGGCTTTGCTGGGATCAGAGGATCCCCGCTCATATTCTGCAGCTCTCTGAAGAAGGGTCCGATAATAACTGACCACAGAGCAGCCTGAGAGGCCCGCAGCGTTGGGGAGAATCATCTGACTGGCAATAAAGTGAGCGTTACTGCTGGAGCCATTCGCAGCAGGCTCTCCCAACCAGGGTCCACTTCCTGATTCCTGAAGGACACAAGAACAGGAACCGCTGAGATCAAAAAGACTACATACAAATGAAATTCAATAAAACACACAATTTGGACATGTTGTTCAAAATCCTAATTGCAATTGTACCTTAATACCAAAGATGAAATGCCTCCCAATGAAGCAGTCCTGCACAGCCTTCTCCAGAAACGTGGATCTGTTTGATGCTCCATCCAAACTCTGCACCAACCTACAACAATACATTACATATCATTTATCATACAGAAACAAAAGAAATCCACACTGCTTTTCACTGAACAGTTAAAGAGTTCAGTGAAAAGTAACTTAACCCTGGTCACATGAATCTAATCCTCTGATGAACACAGGGTTCCCAACGCTGTTTTAGAGCCGTTATAAAACAATGTAATGTAATGTTACATTACACCTGACAGAAAAACGTTCACTAATGTCGTACCAACTAAGATTAGTGCAAAAAAATTATGCTTATAAGATAGTATCTGACGAGTAATACTTAAAACAAATTGTGTGTTTTTATGCTATATATAATACAGTCATGTATAAAGTAAGTACATAAATTGGCAGGCGAAACTGAAAGACTACAAACAAGTGTCAAATTCAATCCTACAAAAAAAGATGTTGATACTCAGAGCGGCTGTATAGAGAGGCGAAGTCCGTCCCTTTTCGGGGACCTCCATGGGACCTTATTTCGGAAAAAGTATGTATTGAAGTCAATGGGGAGAGAAAGATTATCTTTGGATCCCGTTTGAATTGTGCCACGAATCACACATATGATGTTTGTCAATTTAAAAGATAATTTTGCAAGTCAAAAAAATAAAAATGTGTCGTAAAACTGTGAAGTAACACTTTTTTTTGTGTGAAACCGCTCAATGAACTACATCTCCCGTCTCGCACCACACACCAAGACGGCCGTCACGTTGGCACATTTCACTTCTTTCTTTCAGAATGAGG